TTGGAGTCTTGCTATTAGAATTTGTGTGGGTTTCAGGTCCCCAAGTCTCTGGGAGAGCTGCCATTAAGACTGAGGACTTGGGGTAGAGATAGGGCTAGCCCAGTATACATGCACCTATGTGTGGGTTTCCTCCCCCGAACCCCACAAACTAGAACCCAGTAACCGCTGCCTTCGGGAGGTGGGGGTAGGAGAGTCGGGAGTTCAGTCCTTTGCTACATAGCAAGTGTGAAGCTAGCCTGGGCTACAGGAGCCCTGCCACTTCCCAGCCCCTGTGTCTAATCCTCTGGAGGTGTCTGGTGCTCCAGGCAGACAGAGATCTGGAGGCTGTGGCGGGAGTTGCGTCGGGAGGAGCCTCAGCTGGCCGGCAACTTGGAGGGCTTCCTGGCCAAGATGAGCAGCCGCCTGCAGGAGGCCTGGGAGGACCGAGAGGCCCTGGAGTGGACGCTGAGGAAGTGAGTGGGGTGCTCCAGGTGCTCCCTGCACGCCATGGAACCCTGGGTGAAGTCTGCCCCCGTCTGGGAACACACAGCCAGCGTTTGAGGAGGAGGAAGCTCCAGGGGCCCTGTTTCCTGTGACTGTCAAACGGTCAGGATCACAGCCCTGTCACAGGGGCCTGAGTCATGGAGGCCAGGATGGTGACTGAGGCTTGGGGCAGTGGGGACAGCTGATCGGGCAGGGGGGAGGGGGCACAACACCGATAGATGTGTGACTGGTGCCATAGACCCAGGGTGACGTGACAGGGGTCTGCGATCCCTGAGGACAAGGCAGGAGGACCCCAGGCGTCCTCAGGGGCTTTCTGGTGCCCTCCTCCTGCCCCTCCAGGCGACGCTCCGACCATCTCCAAGAGGTGAGGCAGCTGTATGAGGAGACAGAGGAGCAGATCCGCAGAGAGAAGCAGCAGCTGCAGGCTGAGGTGCGTGAGGGCCTCGGGCCACCGGCCATGCCATCCGTGAAAGATGGCCGCCTCCCCAGGCTGGGCAGTGGCTAAGCAGGGCAGCAGGGGGGGGGGATGGGAGTCTCCTGCCCCGAAGCTCACGATCCCCAGAGAGATGGGGTGGGCCTGCTGGGCGTGTGTTCCGTCTCTGCAAGGTAGCGATGTCCCCGGGGACTGACCTCAGCATCCTGGCTTCAGTGTCCTTGTGAGAGTCTAGGCACAAGTGGGGGAAGCCCCAAAGTCCTCTTTTCGGGTAGCTTCCAGCCCCTGAACCCCACCAGGCCAGAGCGGAGGTAAGATGGGTAGGACCAGCCCGGCCGAGCTGTTTCTGGAGTTTGCAGGGCTGACCTGTCCCCTCTGCAGAGCGACTCCCGGGGCATGGCCCTCAGTGCCTGCATGCAGGAGGCTCTGGAGGCCAAGGAGCAAGAGGCGCAGCGGCTGGCACAGGGCCAGAGAGAGGTGAGTGCAGGCCTTCTGGGGAGCCCGGACCCCGGACGACCTTTTCCCCCGTTCCCAGCTGGACAGGTCTCAGGGGCAGCCAAGAACTCCCTGGGCTGCGGGCTGCCCGGGCAGGGCTCCCCGCCGGTGCCCTGGGAACACCTCCACGGCTCAGCTCAGGTCCCAGAAAGAGGCAGGCAGACACAGGGAAACGGGTTGGGAGCGCACCCTCGCCTCGGGTTTTTGGGCCTTCCGGGCACCCCAGGCCTCACGTGTCAAATGACACTGCCTGTGGGAACAACTGGAAAAGGAAAAGCTTTGGCCAGTTTAGATATGGTGGCTCACGCCTGTAACCCCGGCTCTCGGAGGTAGGGGGGGCAGGTAGGAGGATCAGGAGTTCAAGGCTAGCCTGGGCCTTGTGAGACCCAGAAGGGGGAGAGAGAAAGGAAAGTTCTGGACCACAGGTGCTCACAGGCTCCGTTGTCATCTGGTCAGCCTTGGGCAGGTCATGTCAGGGCCTGAGGGGTGGGGGGGGTTTGTCACCGTGGAGGACAGTGCCACCCTCCCCCCCACAGCTGGAGGCGCGGCTGCTCCACCTCAGCAGCACGCAGCAGGAGGCCAGCTGGGAGAACCTGCAGCTGCGGGAGGCTGAGCGCCACCTGGCCGGGCGGCTGCAGGAGGTGCAGGGGCAGCTACAGGCAACTCGGGGACGCCTGGGTTCTGCCAGGGGCCGGGTGCCCTGGCAGACAGAGGAAGAGCCAAGGCAAGTAGCCGAGCGGGTACTTGGGGAGAGAGCGGTGGCTGCTAGGAGCCAGGTTGTGTGCCACAGCGCTGGCTGGATGGCCAGTCACACCCACTCCCCCACAGCACTCCTACCCGCACAGACACACACACACAACCACACAACCCACACCTACAACCACACAGTCACACACACACCACACACAATCACACACAGACGTGCACACACAATCACACACACAATCCTACACACATGCATAATCACACATACACAATCACACACACATAGTCATACACACACACACATAGCTCCCAATCAGGGACTTGCTCTGTTTGTAACAGCTTAGAAGGAGGCTTGCCTAGTCAGGGCAGGCTTCCTGGAGGAGGTGAGGCTTCACGTGGGTTTTTCGGTACAGAGGATCCAGCCCTGGAGGAGAGCAAGCCTCGGGGAAAGTTAGGCTGTCAAGATTTGGGGGGGACACTAACTCCCCTGACTGTCACCTCCCCCTTCCTGCCTGTCCAGAGACCCCAGGGAAAATAAGGCCCCGGACCCTCAAGCTGGGCCCGCTGAGGAGCCCCCCCTGCCGGAGCTGTTTGGGGACAGTGACGACTGGGCCCAGCTGCTGCAAAGCTTTGGGGAGCGTTCCCACAGGACCCTGCGTCTTTGCTGGAGCCCACCCCCGAGCCCCGGCGCCTCCTCCGCCCCACCCACGCCCCGAATTGTAAGACAGATCTCCATCTCTGAGGCGCCCGCTCTCCAGCCTGCCCAGGGACCAGCCTCGGACCCAGAGCCAGGGACAAGAACCGCCCCTGGGGTTCCTCCCGGTGCCGGAGACAGAGCGGGGCTGGAGGATCCCGAAGGGCAGGATGGGCAGGATGGGGGCTCGAAGCGGCCTGCGGATGTCCCTGACCTGGAAGCTGGACTCGAGGCCCCCTTCCTCTGGGGTCTGCCGGAAGCCCCGGCTGGGGAGTCTGGGAACATGGGAGTGCTGCTCCCTTCTGAGGTTGGGCCTTCTCCTCCTGTGCCCTCTCCTCCTCAGTCCCCGGCTGCATCCAGAAGACAGACCCAGGCCCCAGATCTAGGTGACAGGAGCCCTTGGCCTGGACCCGACCCCGCCAAGCTGCTCATGGAAGATGTCCTGGCAGAGACCCCGGAGCAGGGCTTATGGTCCCGGGGAGCCTCGGCCCTCCCTGAGGGGACCACAGAGCCCTCTCAGAGCCTGGAGGCTGCAGGCCAGGTGCCCACAGAGAGGCCGGTGCAGGGCCCTGCGCCCCGGGCTAGGCAGGAGAGTCCCCCTGGGGGGCTCCTAGAAGCCCATGGCCAGGCCCTTAGGCTGGATGGCTCGTCCACCCACCCCCAGAGTCTGGGAGAGCCGTCCAGGCCTGGGGAAGGAAACTCAGGGGCCAGGGGCCAGCAGGACCCTGAATGGGAGCGAGCCCACAAGGCTGGGGGCCTGGAAGCCAGGGACACAGACTCGCTGCAGCAAGATGATCTCCAGCCTGAGGTGTCACAGGCCCCCGCTGGGACCGAGGTCCCTGCTCCTGGCAAAATGTCCCCTCCTCCGAGGGGCACTGCCCTCTTAGGGGCCGGGCCAGCCGTGGGAGCCTCAGAGAGCCCCGAAGCCGGCCTCGCCCCGGCTGAGACACAAGCCCAGCCCGTGTCCATGTCCATGCCTGCTGGAGCAGAGGGCAGGCCGGGCGACCCTCAGTCCCCGCAGCTGGGGCCAGCAGGCAGGCCCGAGGACCCGAGAACAGCAGCCTCCTCCCCCGGGGACCTCGCGGCCGGCCAGCCTCAGGCTGACCCCGACTATCTCTTTCACGTCATCTTCTTGGGGGACTCCAACGTAGGCAAGACGTCATTCCTGCACCTGTTACACCACGACACCTTCGCCACCGGGCTCACGGCCACCGTAGGTAAGGCCTGTTGGGGAGGTGGCCCTGGACAGGGGGAAGATGGGAGGCCTGGGCCAGGGCCGGCCGTCTCTGAGCAGGCCCTCCCAGGAGAAGCGGCAGCTCCTGCCTTGGCCACAGGCCTCCATGAGGCCTTATTTCATGTGGGCATAACCTTGGCGATTCACTAATCGTCTCTAATTACGGGTAATTTGCTTTCTCTGCATTGATCTGGGTAGCTCCTAAGGTGCCACAGTGACAAAGCGCTGTGTGATTTAGGTCCTGGTGTCAGTGGGGGGCGGAAAACAGGCCAGTTTCCACCCACGTCGAAGGTAGTTCCCTGCAGCGCCTAGCTGGACACGCTCGTGACGCGCCTCGGGTCTGCCAGCATGCCCTGGCAGGGGACCATAGGTGGGGGTGTCTTACACGGGATATATTCAGAGCATGGCAAGTTAGGGCGTGAGGGGCCTGGGATCAAATTCTAGCGTCACCGCTCACTGGGGGCTATGAACACAACCCACCCCCATCAACTCCTCAGAGGCAATTGGCTTATACCGAGAAAGGTTTACTCTGGCTGGCTCAGAGTTGGGAGGTTTCAGTTCCCAGATGGCCCTGTTGGCAAGGCAGCATGTTCTGGCGGGAGACGTGCTGAGCCAAACTGCTCAGGGCGCTGCGGGGAAGAGGGAAAGAAGGGCCGAGAGGTGAACCGCTGGCCCAGCTAGCACGCCTACGGTCCTGGGTTTGGTCTCGGCGCGGCGTAAGCACAGCTAGGTGGTGCACGCCTGCCATCCCTGGGTGGCGCTCAGGAGGAGGGAGGGTCAGAAGTTCAAGGCTGTCGTTGGCTACTTCGCCAACTTGAGGTCAGCCTGGGCTACAAGAGACCCCGGGAAGATGGGTGGGAGTCGGGAGTAGAGAAGGAAGAAGATGAAGCCAGAAGCGTGCCTTCCTGGCAGTCCAGGGTGCAGGCTGATTAAGGGTCAGTGCCGAGCCACGGCTTACGGTGTCCTGGTTTGCCCTCCATTGGTGCCACAGCACCGTCAAAAGCCACTCAGAGGAGGGAAAGGTTTCATTCAGCCTGTACCACAGGCCAGAGTCCATCCCTAAAGGGAGACAGGGCAGGGGTTCAAGGCAGAAACCGTGGCGCTCACTCACTGGCTTGGGCCTGGCGGACTTCCGTATACTGCCAGGCCCACTGGCCCAGCATGGCGACGCCTCTGGTGGGCCGGGCCCTCCCACCCTGATCTTCAAGGCACTGTCATGCCGTAGACTTCAGACACGGCCGGTCTGATGGAAGGTCTTCAGCCGGGGCTCCCTCTTCCCAGGTGACTCCAGCTTGTCCAGGTTGACAAAACTAACCAGGACAGCACGGATCTAGTTAAACACTCGAGTCCTTGAGAAAGAGGGAGCCGAGGCAGGCCCGGCCTACAGCGGACCACAGGGGTGCAAGGCCATCGCCATTAATCACCCATTCGGCTGGGCTTGCTGTGTGCGTCCACCCGGGTGAAGCTGGGGTTCTTGACTTTGCCATGGGGAAGAGTTTCAGGAGGAGGTGGAAAGAGGCAGAGGCAGAATTTGTTTGAGAGTTTAATACAGATTGAAGGTCTGGTGCAGACAGGGAAGGGGCCAAGGCACACAACGAGCCCCAGAGAGCCGCCTGCCTGTCCCCACCACCCCAAACACTTATAGCGTGTTTTTGCGTGTATGTGGAGGCACAAGTCCGGTGTTGGGAAGTGTCCTCTGTGGCTCTCCGGCTTCTTCACTGAGGCAGACTCTCCCAATCAAACCCCGAGCTAGCCAATATGGCTGCTCTCTAGTCAGCTTGCTCTGGGGTTCCCCCCTCCCCCCACCTTCTGAGGCTGCCACGCCCACCGAGCATTCACGTGGGCTTCTGGGTGTCTCGAACCCCTGCCTTCAGGATGGTGTGACTAGCGCTGAAGCCCCGAGCCATCTCCCTAGCCCGGTGCTGCCCTATCCTTGCCAGTTCCACATGATTGGATGGCACAGACTCAGACAGAGCAGGCCTGCCTCTGTGGCCAGCCAGGTGTTGTCCTTGTCATCATCATCATCATCATCATCGTTGTCATCCCGTCCGCCCCGCCCCCACTCCACCCCAGCCCCTCTCAAAAAGCCAGAACTCTTGCATTTGAGGCCGGTGGGTGGAGACACAGATCCCAGGCGGTCTGACTTCTCAGCGTGGTCCTTTCTGGTGGCAGAGGACCCCTAATGAGGTGTCTAGCCCTAGCTCAGCCCCAAGGTTCACGCTCACTCCCTTCCAACCTCCCCTGCCCCACTTTGACCTATCTGGGAAGACCTGACCCCTGCGTGCCTGGCCCTGCCCCTGGGTGTTTGGAGGGGGGTGTGTGGGCTGCCCCCTTGAACCAGTGCTGCCCGGCAAAGACCAAACCTTGTGGACCTGATGGCCTGTGTGGCTTAGCTGAACGGGGTCTGGAGGCACACTGGAGTGCCGTGAGGGTAGATGAGGGGGTAGCCGTCGGGGGAGGTGGTAGAGGTTGCAGGATGGCTGAGAGTTGTTTGCAGCTCAATGTGAGAGTCTCAAGATCCTGCGGCCCTGGGCTCCCGAGACCCTCAGGACGGGGCTGTAAAGAAAATGCCTAATGTGGGTCCAGGGCCCTGACCTCAGGCCGTCTGCAGAGCAGGGAGGGCTGCTGAGCCATCTCTCCAGCCCCCTTTTCCTGGACTCCCTCCACATCCAGAAGGCTTCCTTGACGAGTGGGGGTTGGCTGGAAGGGGCACGGAACCCCACCCCCATCTTTTCATTCCAGGACGCAGCTCTGACCGCGGCCAAGGGTGGGGCCGCGGAGGGACGGCGAACGCAGTCGTGAGCTGGCTGCGTTAGGCGCAGGCCGTTTCACTGGGGGCTTTTAAATATCACCTCGCAGTGGAGAAGGGGGTGGGGCTCAAGGAGGGCCCCGGGGCCCCAGAACACACAGCGTGACCCCCTGGGTCCTCTCTCCACCTGAGGAAGGCGCCCCGGAGAGGACCCGCTCAGTTGTGGGATGCTCTGGAGACCCCGCCCTGCTCCGGCGGGCGCACCCACGGGGCATCTGGAGCTCGCTGTCCCGGTGGTGTCTTCTGTGTACCCTAGGGGTGGACTTCCGGGTCAAAAGCCTGCTGGTGGACAACAGGACCTTCGCGCTGCAGCTGTGGGACACAGCCGGGCAGGAGCGGTAATCCACACGGTCCCAGGGGTCAGGGTCCTCGGCTGTGCTGGGGGCGGGGGAGGAGAGGGTGGCCCGCGCCCTGGGGCACAGGGCGCAACTACCCATGACAACCTGGGGGACGACGAGACCCTGAGATCCAAGACCCAAGGAGTCAGGAAGGAGGGGCCGTGAGCCCGGGTGCCCCCCACTCTGCGCTGCCCTGGGGGGGGGGCTGGCTGGTCCTCCCCGACCCGCCTTCCAGACACAGGCCTCCCACGGAACCCCAGAGCACTGGACACCTAAAGGTCGTAGGTTCAGCGCCGCCATTCGGCTTCTGGAAGCTTCTTCTGGGGGTGACGTCATCCCCAGAGCGGACACCCAGCTGCGTCCCCGGGGTCCGCGAGGGAGATGGCCGAGTCCCCCCCATAGGACGGTGTGGGGGTCCCCGGGCTCTGGAGGGGGGCGCCCTCACGCAGACCCTCCCGGCAGGTACCACAGCCTCACGCGGCAGTTGCTGCGCAAGGCGGAGGGGGTGGTGCTCATGTATGACGTCACCTCCCGGGAGAGCTTCGAGCGCGTGCGGTACTGGCTCGGCTGTCTGCAGGTGAGCGCGCCTGGGGGCCGCTGGCGGGCGCCCCGTGGGCAGCGCTGTCCCGCAGGTACCGCGTGGGCGGTCTCCTGGGGGGGTCCCCATTATCAGCTCCATCTCCCACGCCCCTCATCTGGACGCTGGGGTTCTGCAGGGCCTGGGCCCAGCCTGAGGCTGAACCGGACCGGGAAGCGGGCGCCCTCTCTCTAGACGATTGTAGTGTAGGGGGAGATTGCAAAAAGAAGGAAGGGAAAGCCAGCCAAGGTGGCAGGTGGGGAAGGACTCTGTCGGGGCCTGGCTCGACCTCTCTCAACTTGTGTTTCTCTATGGGCCACGGGGGAAGACGTTCAGGCAACCGCTTCTGTCTGCTCCTGGGTGAGAACATCCAGCAAAAGCAATAGGGAGAGAGAGAGAGAGAGAGAGAGAGAGAGAGAGAGAGAGAGAGTTCAGTAGTTGGAGCCCTCGCTGCTCTTCCAGAAGAGCTTTCCACACTCATGTTGTTTTTCTCACAACTGTCAGTAACCAGCTCCAAGGGATCGGACACCCTCTCTGGCCTCTGTGGCCTCTGTACACACATGGTGCACACATACACACATGAAGACACACACACACACACACACACACACACTCATAAAGAAAGAAAAAGGAAAGCAATTAGAGACAAGTGTTAGGGCGGCCTTGGCAGCCACAGGCACACAGTCATGAATTGCGGGCAGGAGCTACCCAGGAAGGCTTCCAGGGGGAGGTGCCCACGAGGTTCGCCATGAAAGTAGGCAGAGCGTTTCGTAAGCGGAAAAGAGAAGAGAGGGTCCCCGTGAGAGGCTGCCTGACAGCCCCTAGAGATTTGCAAACGTCCCTGCCTTGGGCCTGGCATCCACTGGTGGCAGCTGAGGGCATATATCCCGTCTGGAAGGACGCAGGCGTGGAAGGAGTGGCCATGGTCCTGCTGGGAAACAAGATGGACTGCGAGGAGGAGAGGCAGGTGCCTACGGAAGCCGGCAGGAGGCTGGCCCAGGTGAGCACTGGACTTCGCAGCTCGGTAGGTGGGAACGGGGCTTCCTGCCCCTCCGGTGCCTGCCTGGGGCAGAGGTGTGGCCCACTCCTTGGTGACTGAGGCCCTGGGCTCAACCCCAGGCCGTGCCGGCCGGCGCCACCTTGAACATGGCGTGGAATTAGCAGATTCCCACGTATTCCCAGCCCACGTGAAAAACATCTTCAGAGTGAAAACAGTTTTAAAGGCTTCGCTGAAATCCCCAATCAAATCTTCATTTTATCTCTGGTCTCTAATTAACATGCTCCCTTCTCATTTAGTCTATTTTAAGACTCAAATGCTTTCCTTGGGGAGAGGACATCAAAAGCTTTGCTGTCAGGCGGGGGATACCATTATTTATAAATGAGATTTAACCACATTCTAGAGAAGCCAGTGAGTAATAATATATGTGTATATATATATATACACACACACACACACACACACACACACACACACAGGCACATAAATACACACACACATAAATACATATATATACACACACACATATATATTAAATGTATGGAGAAAGTCGCTCCCTGCCCCGCCCCTGACACAGTCCTTAGGTCCCTTGCCAAAGCCTCCTTGTTGATCCTTATTTCTCGTGAGTGTGACTCGCCACCGCCACCGTGGCTCCAGATTGACAGATAAGCCCCTCCCTGGAAGAGTAGTCCTGTCCCTTTAAGAGTTCCTTCTCCGAGAATTTACCCTGCTAGAAGACTGAGAATTAATGGTCCCTGCAAATTCCCTAGGTGACTCCCTCCCAAGACATCCACTCGGGTGCCAGCAGGAGGCCGTTGTCGGTGAGGGACAGGCAGAGTTTGGTGGTTAGGTCGGCCATATTGGAGGTTCCCAGGAGAGGCCAGTGTTTACCAGGGAGGGTCCTGTGCTAGGGGACGGGCGTCTGGTGGGGCCAGGGAGAGACTTCTGAATGCCTCTGTGGCTCCCCTGAAGCAGATGGATAAGAGGTTTTCACTGGAAAGGATGTGGTAAGACAGTGGTCAGGACCTGGAACCTGCATGCCTCCCCCGACCCCCAGACTCAGTGGCCCCTTAACTCAGCAAATTCCCAGGACAGCAGGAAGGGAGCTGAGGCTGCAGTGCAAGGACTAAAGGCCTCAAGAGAAATTGGTGACATTTGGGGATAAAAGAAGAGGAGGAAGAAGAGGGGAGTGGGAGAGAAGGAGAAAAAGGAGAGAGAGAGAAAAAGAATCCTGTCCTGTAGCCCACAAGATGGCTCAGGGGTCCAAGGGCTTGACAGCAAGCCTGAGGTCGTGAGTTCGATCCCTGGGACGCACATGGTGGAAGCAGCACTCTGGCTCTGACCTCCACATACAGGCCTCGGCATGGAGAGCCCTTACCGGCTGGGCCATCTCCCCAGCCCCCTTCTTTGGCTTTTTGAGACAAGGTTTCATGCAGTCTGGGCTAACCTCACTTTTGCTAAGTAGCTGAGGCTGACCTTGAGTCCCTGACCCTCCTGTCTCCGCCTCCTGAGTGCCGGGTTACAGGTGCTTGCCACAACGCCCGGCTCCTGCTGTTTTGCTTGATTTTTGTGCTGCTGACCACTGAACTCAGGGCCTTGGAAGGGGGGATAGCCCAGAAGTATTTTAGAAAAACATAGGAACAAAACCCTGGGCTTTAAAGGAAGTTCCTGTGTGATGGCACCCGTGTCCTGCAGCCAGCCGAGGGTGGGTGGCGGACAGAGGTCTAGCTGGGGGGTACTGGGGACTGGTGGGTTCTGGCCCCGCTCTCAGCTGCTCTGTGTGGCTGCAGGAGCTGGGGGTCTCCTTTGGTGAGTGCAGCGCCGCCCTGGGTCACAACATTCTGGAGCCCATGATGAACCTGGCTAGGTGAATGCTTCCGCCTACCCAGAGTCCTCCAGGGCAGCCCCACCCCGGCTCTGCCCTCTCCAGGAGACCCGTGCTTCCAGACCCATTGCTCTGTAAGACTCCTGCCGTGGCCTTCTAGTGACTTCCATGACTTAGAATAATAGCCTGCGCTGCCATCCTGCCCTATGGAGCCCTTCTTTCCAACTCTCTGTGTCTCTAGCTCCCATCTCTCTGGCTCTCACATTCTGTGCCCCCGTCTCAGGTCTGAGCCTTCCTGGGCTGTTTTTCCATGTGTTTTCTTCTTGCTGTCTGGGAGGGGCCCATCTGTCTGTTAAACCCCTCCTTCCGTGGGGCCTTGCACCCACTGGGGCTCAGGGCATGGCTGAGGTGCGTGCCAAGAAGGGCATCAGAGGCCACCAGTACCCCTGGCATGTGGTACCTACACGAGATAATCTGTTGTGCTTTCCCAGCTCAGGTTTGCTCTTGACCTTGAGTCTGGGCTTCCAAGGGAACACACCCTCCTGCTGTGGCACAGAATGTCCCTCTCCTCAGCTCAGGCTCAAGCCCCAGAATTCGATTTCTTTATTTCTGCGGAAGCTGCTCATTCGTGTGTGTGTGTGTGTGTGTGTGTGTGTGTGTGTGTGTTTTGCTTAGCACCCAGTGGCCCAGAAAAAGAGACAGAAGGTCACAGGTTCCCGAGTCCCATTTCCCCACTGCCATGAGCACATGAGCAGAGAGAGAGCACAAGGGATGGGGGTGTGGAAGCCTCCCAGCCCCTATCCCCACCCCACTCCTCCATGCTGCTCCTGGAGTCCAGAGGGAGGAGTGACTCGGGGACACCGTCACACAGGTCGCTTAAGATGCAGGAAGACCGCCTGAAGGCCTCACTGGTGGAAGTGCCCCGCCAGCCCCAACCCAAGAGAGCCGGCTGCTGCCGCTGAAGGCCCGTCTGGGCCCTGCTTGGCTCCCATGGCTCACACACTGCCTCACGCTTAGTCAGCTCTTATATGAGGCCCAGGCACACCTGCCTGGGGATGGCGCCGCCCGCAGTGGACCGAGCCCTCCCGACGACACAGTGCCCCACAGACACGCCCGCCCCAGGCCAGCCCGGCGGAGGCAATTCTTCATTTAAGCTCCCCCTTTTCTGCTGACTCCACACTGTGTTAAGTTGATAATAAAAACTAACCAGGACACAGGACACGTAACGGGGTGCTGTTTTCCCTTTGAGTATTTTTTCCCCTCATCGGTGCCTAGGAGCGCCTTCTACAAAGGGGCTCAGATGTGGAGAAGGAAATAAACCCCGAGGGAGTCTGATGCCACCTCTGAGTTCACACATCCTGTCGGCTCCCACCACGCCTGTGCCTGCCTTGGTTTCGACTCTCAGGTATGGATTTTCTCCTTGCAGAACTCAATCCTGAGAGTAGTGTCTTTCTGACAGCCCCCATAAACCCCAAGCCTTCCGGCCTTCCTGCGGAGGGTTACACCAAGGTTGCTTCTTGCTCCAAAGCTACTGGATACCTGATTGGTGGGGCCTGGACTGCAGCATGGAGACCAGGAGGAAAGCTGGGTCTGGGCGGGGGGAGGGGGGCAGGATGGCCTCTGGGTCAGCATATCTCCCACCGGCTCAGCAGTCATTTTAGCACTGAATACAGACCCACAGGAATGGGGGCGTGTGTAGGGGATGGAAGCTTTGCAGCCTTTTGAAGACAGGGTGCTGAATCAGGAAGAGCCTCAGTGTCTTGGAGAACCGGGGGAGATGGCTAAGAGGAGAGTAGGGGCGGAGGAGTCCTGGCAAGAGGCGGGGACACTGCTTCAGTCTCACCCGTTAGCCACAGTCCCCACGCTTCAAGCCAGCACCTTCCTCTGACTGTTGAGGAAGCCGGGAGCTGGCACAGGGGAAGGTTCCCGCATTCGCTGCCCCCAAGGATGGGGTTAAATGCCCTTAAATACCGTACTACGGTCAGGTGCGGTGGCTCACCGCCTGTGATCCCAGCACTCTGGAAGGCAGAGACAGGCGGATCTCTGTGAGTTCGAGGCCAACCTGGTCCAGCCTGAATGCAATAACCCCAATCTCCGGGCTTGCTTTCTCCCTAGATCCTTCATTGGCTCTCCCTCACCTCACTCTTTTCTCCTTCCAGACCCTCCCCCTTTCTGGGCAGTTCTAGGCAATGGCACTCACTAGGGGAAGGGCCGGTCCCTGCCACGCTCCTGCCATCTCGGAGGTCCAGCTTGGCAGGCTCTGGACACTTCCATTCTGTGGTCCGTGAGGCCGGTAACAGAGCCTTGCGCCTGGGAACCAGCCACTCTGGGAGTCAAGGGGCAGCAGGCTCCAGGCAGCCAGCTCAGCGTCCCTGGAGGGGGCGTGGGGAAGAGGCGGCTCTCTGAAACTTAACTTGGCCTGCTGTGGCTGGGTCCACCATGTGTGCCGAGCCCAGCCGTGTCGGGGAGTCAGCCCTTCTGAGAGGCTAAGGGCTCACAAGTCAGCAAGCAGATACCCAGAACCCCGGGTTGGCAGAGGACAGCGGCAGGACTCAAGGTAGACAGCAGAGGGAACCAGGCAGCTGTTCATTCCTCAGGGTGTGTCAGCCAAGGGGGATCCGAGAAAAGCCTGGGGGGACCAGGCTGCTGGGGCTCAGAGTGTGGATCAGGAAGGAGGAGGAAGGGATGGAGTGGAGGCTGGACGGGGGCATCAGAAACAAGGTCTTGCAAATTGAAGACGAGTAGGGATAAACCTAAGCCCTTTCTTTGTTTTGTTTCTCTGTGTATGAAGCCTTGGCTGTCCTGGACTCGCTTTGTAGACCAGCCTGGCCTCGAACTCACAGAGACATGCCTGCCTCTGCCTCCCCGAGTACTGGGATCACAGGTGTGCGCCACCACGCCCAGCCTTAGCCATTATTTACTCAGGATCTATGTGACAGGTGCTGCTCTGAGAATCGGCCTCAGGTGACCACACAGGCCTTAGGCCACAGCGACCCTATGAGAAAGGGCTGGGTGGGTTTTATTGTTGCTTCCTTTGTGGACCGGGTCTCACACAGTCCAGGCTAGCCACGGACTCTCTACGTAGCCAAGGATGACCCTTCCTTCTCATCCTCCCTCCCCCTCCCTCGTATTGTACACCAGGGTTATGTGGCACCGGCGATGGAACCAAGGCTGTGCAGGCCAGGCTAGCGCTCGGCATTCCCGGCTCTTGGGTTTTGATGTTGTTGGCAAAGGTCTTGCTGTGTAGCCCAGGGTGGCACAAACCCCACGATCCTTCCCAAATGCTGCCAGGAAAGGTCAGAGCTGTGTGATTTTCTCTGTGGCTCTGGGGATGAAACCAAGGGCTTCAGGCATGTGAGGCAAGAGCTCCACCACTGAGCCATCTTTTTACGTAAGAAACTTACACTTGCCATTTGTGTGGACATGTATGGGTGTGTGTGCACGAGGACAAGTGTAGAAGTCTGAGGACAGCTTTCTGGAGCCCAGTCCTTCCTCCCGCCTCGTGGGCCTCGGGGATCAAATTCGGACCTGGCAGCAAATGCCTTTGCACACGAAGCCATGTAACCAGCCCCCATCCTTTACCTTCTGTTTCAGGACAGGGTCTCCCTAAGTTGCTCATACTGGCTTACTCCGCAGCCCAGGCCTGAACTTGGCATCCCCCTGTCTCAGCCTCCCGAGTACCTGGAAGCCTGTGCCACGGTGCCTGAGATTGATGCTTCCCCCTCCGTTCTCTCTCCCTTTCCCTTTCTTTTGGGTATGTGTGTGGCACATGCATGCGAGTGTGCAGGCACACAGTGGCCAGGGCCAGACTTGGGTGTCTTCCCCTGCTGCTCTCTGGACTTCAGCCCTGAACCAGGGTCTGTCACTGAAACGGAAGCTCGCCATCTCGGCCACTGGCTCTTGGGGTCCGCCTGTGTCCGCCCTCCACAGCTGGGGTTGTAGGTACAGACAGTCTGCCTTTCACCTGGGCGCTGGGATTCCAGCTCGGGCCCTTGTGCTGTGGAGCAAGGACCCTTACTCCAAAGGCTGGTTCTTCAGCTTGATCCTCTCCTCTCTGCTCTGCTCTTCTCTCCTCTTCCCTTCCCTCCCCTCCCCTCCTTTCCCCTCCTCTCCTCTTCTCCCATCCCCCTCCACTTTGCTCTCCTCTCCTTTTTCTTCTCCTCTCCCCTCCCCTCCTCTCCTCTCACCTCTCCTAGCTTCTCATCTTCTCCCACCCCCCTTCTCCTCTCCTCTCCGCTCCTCCCTCCCCTCAAGACACTGTCTCACAAGTCCTAGGCTAACCCTTCAACTGACGATATAGCCAAGGATGGCCTTGAACTTCAGATCCTCCTGCCTCCAAAGCTCCAGTGCTGGGAAAACAGGTGAGAAGGGCCTCCTCGCCCCACACCCGGTTTATGCGGGCACCGGGACGGGTCACGCCCAGGGCTTTGTTGGTACAGACCAAGCAAGTGCTACCGACAGAGCCACACCCAGGGCCCCGAGGCAGGGTCTGGAAGCTTGGGCTCCAGCACCACAGGCTGAAGGCTGGTGATTCAGAATTTCTCACGGGAAGATGAGGATGCTCAGAGCAGGCACGCAGGTGCAGGGGCACTCGGGCACGCACTCACGCATGCATGCATGCATGCATGCACGCACCTGGTCAGGAAAGTGACATGACAGCATTCACCTTGTCTCTTGGTGTCTTGGTGTTCATTACTCCCTGGCCCCCTGCGGCCTCTGGAAGCTGTGTAGGAGTAGGAGACCACTCTGCCCCTCAGCTCCCTCACACCAAATGTGGCTGTGAGGCTCAGGCACTGTCTTAAATACTGTGTCCGAAAGCAACCCGGGAAGGAAAGGTTTTATTTTATGTTTCCAGGTCACAGTCCATCACGGAGGAAAATCCGTTCAGAAACTCAAACAGGGCAGGAACCCGGAGGCCGGAACTGAAGCAGAGGCCATGGGGGGTGGGGTGGGTGCTGCTTACTGGCTTGCTCCCGTGTCATGTGCAGTTTGCCTTCCCATAGCACTAGGACCACCAGCTGAGGGATGGCACCACCCACCGTCAGCTGGGCCTGTACATATCAACCATCAATCAAGAAAACGCCCCAACGCCTTGCCACAAGCCGATCTGGTGAGGCATTTTCCCAGTTGAGATTTCCTCTTGCAAAATGACTCTAGCTTGGGTCAAGCTGACATAAAATTAGTCAGCACAGACAGCAAACAGGCTCCCAGATCAGGGTCCCTGCAGGAGAGGCTTGGAGAGCCCACAGGCCTGGCAGCAAGCTGGCAGGGGGAACCTGGCTCCTCAGGCCTCAGTGTAGGAGGCCGGACTCTGGCTAGGGCTGGCAGGAGACGGAGAGGAGAACAGCCTGGCTGGGTTTGCTGCCGCCGAACCCCCAGTCCCTGGAGCAGAGGGACGTGGCAGCAGTGGGGGGTTGGGAGGGCAGGGGCTGTGTGACCTCCCCCAGATGCTTCCAGCATCACAGCCCAGCCGTGTCTCCGGCCTGTGCGCTCAGTGGGCGTGAGGAACAGGAAACGCTGCATCACTCCCTGTTAGAGAGGGGCCCTGGTCCAGCGTGGGACAGTTACTGTTGCCCCTGATCTGCTTCCTCTGTCCTTACAGTTGAGGACACCGAGGCTAAGGGGTCCCCCCACGTCCTGAGTGGCAGAGGCAAGATCAGAACCCAGACTGTGAACGCAGACCGTCCTGTCGGGCTGCCACAGACAGACAGTAGCGTGGTGGGGACCTGTTGTAGGGAGACAGACAGCAAGGCGGGTGTTCTGAGACCATTCAGTAGGCCCACCAGGCAGAGCGGGCATCCGTTCTTGTACAACTCAGAGGAAAGCGGGGGTGGGGTGGAGGCTGGGGGTTCCTGTAGTCAGGCTGCCTCTGATTCCCATTCCCGAGTGGCTGGAGGGGAGGGAATTCTGGGGTAGGGATGCGTGACTGAGGGTGTGGGAAGTGAAGGCAGACTCGTAGGCTCTTCAGTGTCTCTCCCTGAAGTAGTGGGGGCCCGAGGGAGGATGGGTGGTGGAGCACCCCTTTAATCTCAGCCCTCAGGAGGCAGAGGCAGGCGGATCTCTGAGTTCGAGGCCAGCCTGGTCCACAGAGTGAGTTCCAGGACTAGCCAGGGCTACACAGAGAGACCCTGTCTCAAACAACAAAACAAAACAAGAGAGGATGAAAACAGATGCCGAGACCCCCAGCTAGACATTAGGTGGAGCTGGGGAAATCCTACCGGACAGGAAATGATTGTAGGAGCTGGAGAGGTCTAGGACACCACAAGAAAACCTGCAGAATCAACAAATGCCTCCCAGAGGCTCACAGAGACTGAACCGACAGGGAGCCGGTGTCCGATAACCCAGGTCTCCGGCATATATGTCATAGTTGCGTAGCTTGGTGTTTTTATGGGAGTCCTAACAGAGGGAGCAGGGGCCGGGTCTGATGCTTTGCCTGCTTTGGGGACCCTTGTCTTCCTGGGTTACCTCATCCAGCCTTACTAATCTTACTGCAACCCGATATGCCAAGTTCGGTTGGTATCCTGGGAGGCCTGCCCTTTCCTGAAGAGAAACAGGAGCGGATGGGGAGGACGTGGAGGGGAGGCGGAGGATGGGGACTGGGGTTTAGAGTCCCAGTTTTGGAGCCTCCTGGGTCACAGGCCAGCCCTAGCTAGGATGCCTGTTAGCAGCTGGGAGCCTGCAGATAGTGTGTGGCCTGATTAGCCCCTAGCAAAGCTAGCCATTACCCTGAAGTTCCTGGTAGCCCCCTTTGTGATTCCCATGAGGACTGTCACAGACGAATGTTTGAGTTTCCCTTCCTTAATTAGAGATGCCATTGTTGATGGAATTCGCCGGTATGGAGTTGAATGGCACCCTCTACAAAGGGCTGGCCGCCACCCGGGAGAGGCTGGGTGGTTCTGCGGCCTCATCCTGCTCGTGGGGCTGCTGGCCAATGGGCTCCTACTGCTGCTGGTGGCTGGTGGCCCTCGAGCTACTCGCCTGCTCCTGGCGTTGACCTCCAGGCTCTGAACCTGCCGAAACCTGCTCTTATCCTACCCCGCTGCCGGGGGCTGGGCCACCATCTGTACCACCAGCCAGGCCGCCAACAGGACCACCACCTTCTGCACCTCCTACGGCCTGGTAGCCAGTGCACTTGTGTGCCCCACAGCCGCCGTCCGGCCCAGGTCCCGGCCTGCTGCTCTGTGGGGCTAAGTGTGTACTAGGCCTGGCCACGTCTCTGCCCATCCCAGCAGGTGACGGTATTAGAGCAGGCAGCAGGCGTCCCTGAGTCTCTGGCCTGCCACCTGTTGTTCAGCCTGCTGGTTTACGCTGCTGGAAGCCAGGCCTGCTGGGTGGGCCTGGGCTGCTCTTCCGGCCTGTGCACACAGAATGGTGGGTGCCCCCCTTCCCAGGGGAGAGTGTACAGGAGTACAAGGTAGGCACACAGCTTGCCCTAGTGCTGGTGATCTCCATTTGGATGCGGGGACCCTGCCCTGCACGGGCCTATGTGGCTGCCGAGAGCCGCCTGCCGCTGGCTTTTGTGGCCTCTGGCCTGTGCACCTTGCTGGCCTCCTCCAGCTGTGCCGTCAGCCTTGGTCATCTAGAACCCGCTTCCCCACTTTCTCATGGGGTCACAGAATGACACGGAGCCTGCCTTCTGGCACAAGCAAGCTGGCGTCTTGGAATGGTGAGGAGGGGTAGGGTCTCCGGGAGCATGGCGTGGCTGGTGTTAACGTGATGCCACCACCATCTTAGGCTTGCAAATTCTGGGCATCTAAGAGGAGTTGACAAAGGGGGCAGACAGAGGCCACTCTGGACCTCCCACCCTGCGGTCCTTAGTCCTAACGGGCAGCCTGTCACAGCCAGACAGATCCAGGAGAACCCTTCATCTGCCTTGCCCTTCCCTGCCTACCCCCTTCTGCTCTGTCCCCCACACCCTCCGTTCCAGACGGAATGAAAATAAAGTCCACGTTGGAGTCACAAGTCCAGGCTTGCGAATTGCTGAGCCCCGCCCTTTCTTCTCTCTCTCTCTCTCTGTATGTGTGTGTTTTCCTTGTCATTGGGGCCCGCCTCTCCCTCCCCCGCCCATCTGGGAGAGGTCCCTTCCCTCTCACTCTTTGGATGAGGCCTTGGCTTCTGGGTGGGCCTCAGGAACCTGGAAAGGCTGTGGCCACTGTCATCCTCAAGACAGGTCGCTTAGCTTAACGTTACCAGTTAGGGGCAGGACAGAGAGGGGAGAGAGGGAGGGAGGAGAGGGGGAGGTCTCTGACTGACTCTGTGGTCTGAAACCTCAGGGATTATTATATCTTATGAGGTCAAGCCAGTGTCTGCTCTAGAACTTGGTAGCCCCAAGGGCCGCTGAGACTACCCCAGAGGGACTCCGAGGAAGCAGCCGCCTCAGACTCCATGCCAGGTAGTAGTTCCGGAGACACAGCTTGCGGGGAACCCGGCAGAGAAGCCAGCGTCACAGTGAAGATGCTTCGGGCGCTGTGCCTGTTCTCTCCCGCACGCCTCAGGGGCAGCCACTCTCTGTCTGGATGGGTGTCCATCCCCTCCCTACGCTTTCTCACGGTGCCCAGGGAGATGGAAATTAGACTGCCGGTTATGGGAACTTCCCTTTCTCCCCCGAGCCACGACCCCACCCCGCCCGTCCCCACTCATGGCGTCATGAGAGTCTCGGGGCATCTGATTACAGAGACGGCCCTGAGTCAGCTCTAATTTACCACGAAGCCGTCAGAAGTAAACAAGCCGGGAGCGGGCAGACAATTAGCACTGAATTCCTCTCAGGTACAGGCCTCCTCGGAATGGCTGCCTAGAGGGCTGACGGTGGTCTGTGTGTACACAGGCCTTGTCCCCATGATCCAGGCTGGCGATGGCCCTGACCTGTGAGGAGGGACCCAGGGAGGTGCTTTCCATGTGCCTACAGCACAGAGGGCCCCGGGTATGTCTGCCCATCAGTGCACACACGTACCCTCTCTGTCGATCCGCTGGCCACACCCCCGGGGTCATCCAGCATGGGCGAGGGTGCCCTTTAGTGACACACCTGAGTGCCATGGCTCCCAGCCCTTCCTGCTGGCTTGCCCTGCTGCCCTGTGGCGGCTGATTTAGCCCAGAGGGTGACAATGGAGAGTGGGCCAAGGGCCTTGGGTCACCGTGCAGGCCTGGGACAGATTCTGGGGAGATATTTGTGGAGAGATGAGGTGATAAGTGATCGTCCGCGACAGCGAGCCACACGTTGGCAAGGTTCGGGTTGCGTGCTGTCCCTCTCACTTCTCCAATGGCTGCATCTCTCCAGAGGCCTCGCCTCGGACTCGCCTCGGACAGCAAGGCCCTGTGCATTCTGGCCCCGCCCCGCACACTCTATCTTTAGAGACTTAGCTCCCATCACGGAAGCCTCCTGCTCTCCCTTTAAACACACCAGGCTCCCACCTCAGGGACACTCACCCCACTCCCGGAACCCCCTCACCCAGGCACGGCCCCCTGCTCGTTTCCCCGGGGCTCTCTCCTCAGTCCCGTCTCATCTAACCCATCACTCCGCTGGTGTCTCGCCCATTGCTCCTGACTATAGGCCTAACTCGGCCTATAGTCTGAAGCCAGGCCATAGGCTGAGCGAGCAGCTGTCTCTCTCCGGCATCCATGCTGTCCTCGGGAGGCAGCTACCGCTCCCTGCCCCCTCCCCCGTGCCTCACGCAGGCTCTGACAGGGCCATGGCTGAACCAAGGAAGCAAGGCAGCGGAGAAGGGACAGGGAGTCTACTAAAAGAACTGGTTTATTTCAGTTTAAGGCAAGTTCCACAGAGACGGTCTCGGACAGGCACAGGACCAGACAGTAGAAACATCATCACCATCACCATGCATGACAGAGGCGGGTGGGCGGGGAGACGGCAGGCGGGGACCCCATGCGGCACATGCAAGCCTGCCCCAGTGGACAAAGGATGATGGTGGCCGGTGGGGTGAGCGGCCTTAGGTGAAAACCCCCTGTCGACCTTCCCGCAGCAGGGGCAGGAGCTCCGGGGGGCTAGGGTGTGGGGTGACAGGCTGCGACAGGGTGACCCCAGACGGCCTGGGTGTGGATGGTGGCCGTGAGGAGGGGGCGGGGAGGCTGTGTGTGGAATGGACGGCTAGGGAAACGCTGGACCCCCTGACCGATGCTGTCCTCACAGAGGTGTGGACACCGAGGCCCAGAGAGCAGAGGCTGTGCTGGGTGGGGACAGGTTGGTGCCCAGGGCCACCGTCCACCTTCTCTGGTCCCAGAGCCACTGAACAACAGAGAGCAGGAGCCTGTGGGCTTGAGCGCAGGGGCTGGGCCTGTTCCTGGCAGGCGAGCGGCCTCCGAGTTGAGCAGGAGCCGTTTCGGGGCCCCAGGCCACCCGTGCCATCCAGGTGACACACTGTGGCATCCGGGTGAGGCCGCAGATCTGTACCTAGAACATTCTAGCACACCACCAGGCCCCTGAGGATGGTGAGGGAGCTCTGCCAACAGGCCTCTACCGCGGCCCCTGACGGCCCACGGCTCCGCTTACGTATGCTGTCCCCAGGAGGATCACACACAGCCCTGGGCTCCCACCAGCCTGGGGTTCCCTGGAAACAGGACGAGGGATCTCGTGGACTGGGGACACCGCACACTAGGTCAGGAGGGGAGGGGAGCTGGAGGAGGCCCAGCTGGGCTGCAAGAACAGGGGCGTCTTGGGGTCGTACGGTATGGGCTAGGGGAGTCCACGCAACCCCAGAACTTTGTGTCCCCCCTGACTTCTGTCCCACCTCCAGTTCCCTGGATCTGGGTGGGAGGTTGAGTCTAGAGGGTGGGAGATGGGGCCCTGCATGCCCCGTCTCCTGCCGGCCCTGAGTGGAGACTGGGAAGGCGACCACAAAAACAGAGTGGGGCCTCAGCTTACCCTCCAGCCCCGGGGTCCTGCGGCTTCAGATCTCTGTGTGCAGGGGGGACTCGGGCGCTGAGCGGGATGGGGACTGTGGAGCGGACTGAGCCGGCGCCGGGGGCGGCGGGCGCGGGCGGATACCCTGCGCCTTCATGTAGGACACCAGCTGGTCGGGGATCTCGGCCAGCACGTCCCGGGCCAGGCGGGCCATGCTCAGCACGTGGTTGCCTGTGCGGTCCACGTAGTCCCGGAAGGGCACGAACTGATAGGCAAGAAGACGGGGTCAGGGTGGGACACCTGGGTCCCCCCCACCTTCCAGAGGACCCACTGCTTCCAACCCTCACTTGGTGAATCTCCCCAGAGGCTGGCAGGTCTCTGTGGCGAGTAATTCAACTCTACTCCATGGTAGGGCCTAACACCGACCCAGCCCCTTCCCTGAGACTAGCAACGAGAACAGAGGCTCAAGAGATGCTGGGAAAGGTGAATTGAATTCTGCTCTTAGCTTCTTTTCTCCTTGCCACCCCTCCCCAGGGGTCTCCTCTGGCCCTTTGTCCTCTGAACCCACAGCTAAGCCACCTTCCTCACACTGTCAACCTCTGGCTCCTTCCTGCCCTCCTCCTCGGGGGGGGGGGGGGGGGCTAAGGACACCACCTCCCTCTGCAGAGGGTCTCCGTGCCACTGGAAGGCCACGCGGCACAGGCCACGAAAAGTCAAATGCTCGTGGAGCTCTTGGGTGGGCCCTGGGTTCTGTGTGGGGGCATCATTCAGGTTAGAAGGGAGCTTCAGACGGGCGGGGACGGAGGGGGGCGGCTTCCCTAGGAGACTGGCCCAAGGAGGGGATTCCAGGGCATGTCCTCGGGAGGCCCTCAAAGGGGCCCCAAGCTTGGCCTGGCTGGAGGACCACCATATTTGGGACTCTGTAGCAGAGCAAGGCCCGTGTCACCTGAACGATGTCCCGTTCGGCCAGTTTCCCCCTGGAGGAGATCCGTACATCATCCCCATCAAGCTCCACCATGGCTGTAGGGACAAGGGGTGAGAGAGAGAGAGAGAGAGAGAGAGAGAGAGAGAGTGAGTCAGGGACCGGCATGCACATTTGGCAGGACTTGCCCTCCAATCCCAGGCCCAGTGCAGGGCCCCTGGCTTGGACACCAGAAGCGAGGAAAACAGGAGGCCGAGACTAGCATGCAGCTAGGGCCCTGCTGCTACTGTGGAGACTCCTGGTCTGGGGTGAGGAGGCCAGCCGGGATGAGGCCTGCATGGGCGCTGACGCACCCTCTCAGGACCACACAAGCCCACCCAGACTGCGGGCACGGCCAGGCTCTCTGGTGGGAATGGGATGCCATGGAATTCTTCGGGGAAGAAGAGCTGAAAGGGGGATGTGGGACTCACCATCGAATTCAGCCTGGCCCACGCCAACAATGATGATGGACATGGGCAGCTTGGCAGCCTGGGGGAAGACAGGGGAGGGGAAAGACCTGCATGAGGGGCAGGCAGGGACGGGAGGGTGGGTCAGAGGAAGAGAGGGCAAGGCATGGAGAAGACCATGAAGGCCAGGGAACCCGAGGAACCCCAAGGAAAGGAAGAGGACAGGGAGGGGACACAGAGCAGGGGCAAGGGGAGAGGAGCTATAGCTGGAGCCAGGTCTGCCAGCTAACCCCTCTCTCTGGTGCCAGGGCTCCGCCATGTGGGACCAAGGCAGCCATGGCTGGGGGCCCTTTTGTATGGAAACCATGCGTCAGCGTTAGGGAAGAGAGCTTTCCGGGTGGTGGGACCCCTCCCCCGGCCTCTACATGACAGACAGGCCCAGGCCGGGCCTAGGGTGGGTGACTGAGGGAGCCATGGGCTGTCTGTCTGGCTCAGAGATCTGATGTTTCACAGGCCCAATGCTTCTTGTGCCTCCCAAATCCCTCTCTCTCTCTCTCTCTCTCTCTCTCTCTCTCTCTCTCACACACACACACACACACACACACACACACACACACACACACACAGAGAAGCCCATCATCCACTCACATTGACGATGGCCTCCTTGGTCTGTGCCATGTCCGAGATGACACCGTCAGTGATGATGAGAAGCACAGAATACTGGGAGCCATCCTGCACAGCTGCGGCGTTCCTGTGGGGGTGGGGTGGGGGTGGGGGTGGGCACACAGAGGTGTGTCCCCGAGCCTCCAGCCCAGGCCCCCTGAACGGGGCTCCTGAGCACTGTGGTAAGGGCTTAAAGGGAATGTCCTGGCCTCCTGCTGTGGGGTGAGCAGCTGCCCCCTCACCTCAAACCCTCCCAGGGTGTCCCTGGGGTCCCTGCCCAGCTCACCTGGCTACGTGGGTGACGACGGGGGCGAAGTTGGTGGGGCCGTAAAGCTGCACGGTGCGAAGGCTGCTGTGGTAGGCCTCCAGGATCCCGTCAATGCCACAGCAGGAGGGGTTCTCCTGGTTGCCATTCTGGGACACAGAGGGGGCAGCTGAGGCTGGGCTCAGGGAGGTGGGGAGGGGGAGGGAAGGCGCAGTTGCCTTTAGCCCAGACCCCAAGCCAAGCCTATGGAGTTTACTCTGCAAGTCTTTAGACCAAGGTCAAGGGTTAGAACCACCCGCTCACCCGGCCAGTGGTGGCGCAAGCCTATAATCCCAGAGCTCAGGGAGGCAGAGGCAGGTGGATCTCTGAGTTCGAGGCCAACCTGGTCTACGGAGCGAGTTCTAGGACAGCCAGGGCTACACAGAAAAACAAAGACCCCCCCCCACACACACACTGCTTGTTCCCAGCCCGGGAGCGCCTACCAGCGGGAACTCGTGGGACACCCTGCCGTCGGGGGGCAGCTTGGCCCCGAAGCCCAGGGCGGGGAACATCTTGTCGCTGTCGTAGTGCTGGATGATCTCGCCCACGGCGGTCAGCGCCAGCGCGTAGGCGTTCAGCTGGTAGGGGCTCAGGTAGTGTAGCGATGTGGACTGCGAGGGGTTCCCTGAAACGCAGGACGCGGGGGCGTGCCAAACCGGGCGGGGGCGGCCCACAGGGGCTCTGTTTATCCCTGAAGCCTCTCTCCCTCTCTCCGTCATGCCCTCCGTTCCCTTCTCCCGCCATGGTGGTCCCACGCCCCTGTCATCCCCAAGCGCTCAGATTTCACCGACAGCTCCCCCGGGGCACCACCCACGGCTCGGCCTTCCGCTAGCTGTGTGGTCTCACCCCTTCGGCCCTACTTTCCCTCACCTGGAAAACAGGGGTGCCTGCCCGCCCCAGGATCCCCGGTTGGGACTAACTGGGTGATGTCAGTGGAAGTGTCTTCCCGCCGTTTTCCTGTCTGTGTGTGTGGGTGTGCATGCCTTGTGTGGCCAAGGCTCATCTGACAAGGTGGGGTCTCCTGGTCAGAGCTGCCAGCACGGCTCGTATTACAGCTGGGCCACCGCAGGAACCTGCTACGTAAGCGTGTCCTGGGACCAGACCTCCAGTCCTCACTTGCACGGCAAGCGCCTTAACCACTGAGCCATGCCCTCAGCTCTAACAGCCCGGCACGTGTGCCCCGTAGCCATAGAGACATTTGGCACACCAGAGGAGGGTGACACCTAGGTGTCCCCTGACACAGAAGAACATGCTCAGAGCACGCTGGCGGGGGTCGTGACCCCACAAGCAGCTCTGTGTTTCTCAGGACATACTCAGGCGCCGTGATGGTTCCTGGCTGCCCAGCCACAGTCAGATGTAAAACACTGCGTTCTCTTGTTTCCCATAGGATGGCTGCTCCCGGCCAGGGCAGGGGCTTGGGGTGTGCCCTCTCACCAGCACAGGTCACCGGGATAGGCTCATCTGACCCGGGGAGCCCTCGGCCTTCTCGGCCACGCTGGGCCTGGGTGGTGTCCTTACTTTGGTGTGCTGCTGGTCCCGTCTGGGGTGAGCATGTGTTTGTCCCTCGGAACAGTGTCACACCACAGGAAGAGCAGGAAGTAGGAGGGACCCGGCTCACGGCCATGCTGTCTCCGCAGCTTAGAGACAGCCGGCACGCTCCTGCCCCACTCACCGTTAGAGGCGGTAAAGTCGATGGCCACGGTGAAATTGATCTGCGTCCTAGAGAGGGGAAGATCTGGAGTCACCAGGGAGCACGGTCACGGGCAGCGTCAGGCAAGGCGGGAGAACCACTGGGCGTCCGTGTTTGTCAGGCATGTGGCCTCAGTGGAGCCACTTGTGTGCAGGCTCTGGGAAGCTGGGACAGTGGCAACAGCCATGCCACTCTGCAGGGCCGCTCCCCGCATTGGAGGTGAGCATTGCAGAACACCCGGGCTGATTATGCTGTGTGGACACCCACAGTTCCCTTCCTCCCTGAGCCTGGCCTCTGTGCCCAGGTGAGCAGGTGAGGTCAGGGGTCACTGGGTTTCCCGTTCAAATTCAGAGTCCAGTTAATGGTTAAAACATGGCAAAGAGTTCAAAACATATGCTAAGCATCTCTAGAAGGAAGAACATGACACTATCCACAATGCTGCCTGGGGCCCAAAACCCAACCCAGACCCTGGCTGACCCTCCACAGCTTTCTGCTACATTCTTTCATTTACTTCACTTAGTTTTGAGATGCAGTTTCAGCAGGCAGCCCTGGCTAGCCTAGAACCTGCTATGTTACCAGGCTGGTCTTGAACTCATAGGAGTCCTCCTGTCTTTGTCTTTAGATTGCTTGAACCAAAGGTGTGCTCTACCACACCCGGTCTCTACGTTCTAACAGGAAATTCAGGGGACAGAGCGAGGACAGTGCAATGGCCTCGCGGGGAGTCTGTGAGATACACGACATACTCCCAGAGTCTCTGAAACCATATGGAAGCCCCACAGGGACCGCAGTGGCGAACTGGGGAACCTCTGGTCCCCTTTCGATCCCTGGAGATGAAAACAGATTCAAGAAAGAAATAGATCAATCAGTATTTGGATTCTGACTGGACTTCAGAATCAACCAATCTTAACAAGTTTTAAGACAATCGAGGACATTTGGGAACTGCCTTGATTCTGTATTATGAAATTATTTTTTAGTGCTCATGGCATTATGGATTGTGGGTTATCTTGTGATCACGTATTATGGTTTTATGTTTAAATTTAAAAAAATTTATTAAGTGTCTGTGTGTGTGTGAATGTACACTTGAATGCAGGTCCTAGAGGAGATTGGAAGAGGGCGTCAGATCCCCTGGAGCTGGAGTGAGCCACCTGACATGGGAGTTGTCTTCTGCAAGGGCAGGAAACACTCCTAACCACTGAGCCATCTCTTTAACCCCTTTGTATTTTATGTAAAGAAAGCCTTGTATTTTAGAGCTACCTTCTGCAGGACCCAGGGATGGATGAGGGGTGAGATTCAGTTTATCAGAAGTGGTTGAGGGGGAAGAAAAGACTCCAGCTATCCAGGTGGGTCAGTGGAGAGGCAGGGGAAGTCCTTGAGGGTCATTGTTCCTTCTCAATTCTATAGCACGTGTTGACATTTTTCATAGTGAAGTCTGCTTGGGTGTTTCAACAGTTGGCTGCTGTGGGATCCGGGCCAGATGTAGACAGAGTAAAAGCTGATGAAGATGTGGGCCTGGGTGGAGACTCATCTTGTGATTCTCACACTGCTGGGAACCTGACTGGCAAGAGTCCAGAGTCTGTGGCAATTCAGCCGCTCTGACGTGGGGGCCCTCAGAATGGGCTTACCAAAAGCCCAGGGAGTCTGAGGAGGGGCCCTGGGGTCACACTGGGAGGAGGTGTCGTGCGTGGGGCTGCAGAGGATGTAACAGGAGCCAGGCTCCATTTCAGCTGTACTTAGGAGAAGGTCCCTATCAGAATCCCCAGCTCCCATGCTACCTGTGCACAGCCAAGCTGATGTACCTCTGTCCCCTGGGAAAGGGCCAGGACATGGCCAGCAGGAGACAAGCCAGGCTTTCTAGGTAGATGCAGTCCCATCTTTCTGCTAGCTGGGGGCAGATCGTCCTCTAGACTCCAGATTCCAAGAGAAGAGCCACAAGAGAGCAAGAACCCGGGCCTCTGAGTGGCTGCTCAAATCACTACCACACTCAACTCTGCCTGACCTGATACTTGTTTGAAGCAGATGGCTGGAAACCCCTTGCTATGGTGGGAGACCATGTGATGGCACGTGTAGTAACAGCATATTTGTTGGAAGAAAGTAGAAACATGGAGACTAAAAACCCTGGTTCAGGGACCATTTCTGCCCTGCAGAACTACAGCCAAGGGGACACAGCTGCGCTGTCTCTTCAAAAACTAGGATGAGGGAAGGGGCTGGCCCTGCTTCTTAACTATCCTTCTGCTCAAAGTCCTGAGAAGATGAGGGAAAGAAGAAACCAGAAAGCAGGCACTGTGAGGAATAACTCCATGTGGCCACGTTGCTCCTGCCCCTTGGCACTTATCTGAGATGAGAAAAGGGACCCTCGTTTTTCTTCCTTCTGGGTTCAGCTGGCAGGGGAGGGAAGCCATGGCCCCCAGACAGACACCTCTGTCAGCCTCCTGCCTGGACACGTTCCCTTTGCTCTCACCCACATGGCACCTCAGCTGACCCCGGCCTCCATCATATTCAGCACAGAAACAGCTTCCATCAGATCCAGCCCCATGGGAAACAACAGAGGAGGCAAGGATGACGAATGGGCTCGCAACAAAAGGAGCCGGGTCACCACGCAGGTGGGTGCAAATCAGAGATAAGGTCTTCGCCCCAGACGCTATGGAAATCAGGAGCGCTGCGCAAATGATGAAGCCTGTGTGAAGTTGCCCAGTGTGGCGGAACATGAGGGCTGGCTGCTCAATGGAATAGTGAAGGGAGGAGTTTTGGTTGGGGGATTTTTTTTTTTTTCATGCATGCAAGGAAAATGCTGCACGCACGCAAAGGTAGAAATGATGGGGAAGGCAGCCAGAGCAGCGAGTGGGTCCATGCAGAGAGGGGCTAGAGGAAGGCCGTGTGTGTGTGTGTGTGTGTGTGTATGTGTGTGTGTGTGTGCGCTAGCCCTGCAGACAGAAGGAGGGCTTGCAACCTTGAGGCTGTACATCCAAGAGAGGAAGGCGCAGAGTCATGGGAAAGTGAGCTGCGCCCTGGGCAGCTCTCTCTGTGCCCTGCACACCGGGCAGCCAGGTGCCTGCCGGGCTAGGATGCGCGCTGGGTAGCCGCCCCGCCCGTCTCCTCTCCGGCAGGTGCAGCCATGGCTCACGTACACTCGTGGGCTGCCCACGCCCCGGCTGGCAGTGTACCAGAGAGGCCCTCTTTGGAACTGGGCCATTTCTAGTAAAGCTGGCGGCTGGGGCCTTCTGGTATGCAATGGCCTGGAGGTCACTCCCGCCCCGCCCCCCCCCCCCGCTTTGCTTCCTTCTGCTCTTTTGGCCTGGGCTTGGGTACCTGCTTTCCCTGGGACTGTCCTCCAACTTCTCTGTCCTTACAGGTCCCTGCCCTCGGTGAGAACATGACGAGCCCACAGTAACTCAGAACGTCCAAGGCAAACAGGGACCCGGAATCTGCATCTCCCACATCCTGGCTCTCTTTTTCACGGAGTCCCTGCCACCATCAGGTACTCTCTCTGCCCAGGGACCCTGAGTGACCCCGTGACCTTATGACCCCGGTAGGCCTCCTGGGCTCAGAATCCAGGAATGGGCAGGGTTCTCAGCTCTGAGGCGGAGTCTGATGGGGAGCCAGGGTCTGGCTTTGGCTGGGGCCTCAAGGGGGCGTGCTCTGGTTACACAGAGGGGTGGGGAGCCCAGCCCTGCCCCTAGGGCCGGGGAGGGCGTGCCCTGTTTCTCTCACCCTCCTTTGATGTAATCCAGAAAGGTGCTCTCTGACTCTACCGCAAAGGAAAGCAGGGTGACCTGGGAAAGGAGCAGAGAGTGGTTAGTGGGGAGCCCCAGACGCCTGTGGAGAGCCGTCTTCAGGGTGTCACTCCATGCTATGTCTGGGGCGGCCTGACTGACAACTATTAACCCCATTTTACAGCCAAGGAAACAGGCTCCAGCATGAGGCACAGCAGGGATTCGAACCTTCTGCATCTGGATCAGGAACTTCCATCACTTTCATGTTGAGGTTGGGTCTCATGTAGCTAAAGCTGCCCCCGAACTCGCTGTGTAGCCGAGGGTGGCCCTGAACTGCTCCTCCTGCCTCCACCTCCTGAGTGCTGGAGTTGGTGGTCTTTAGGACCACGCTTGAGTTTGATGCTTAAGTACCAGGACACAGGCTAAAGGCCCAGGCATCCTCCAAGTGGGTCCTGGGGAAACCCAGAGCCTGGGCTGCAATGTGGAGGCTGGAGAGTCCTCCTGACAGAGGCCCAGCCACAGTAAGGTCTGTGTCGATGACTGGCATGGATCCCATGCTCTGTGCCACTGTCCCTTGTCACTCCTGTCTCTGAACTGTTCTCTTCTCTGGCCTGTCGTGCCCGCCTCTGGGGTGTCGTTCAGCCTCTGCCCCTTCAGCCCCAAGACCCGCCGAGCAGCCCGCCTTTTCCCTCTGCTAGTTGAAGCCTCCCGCTTCCTGCCCCTCAGGAGACTTTGGCAACGGCCTTGCCTGCATGGGCGGCAGCCTGTCGCAAAGAATTCTGGGTCACCGAGAGGAGAGAGTGGGGCCCCTGAAAAGAGGGGATCCTGAGATCGAGGGGCTCCTTCTGGTGTGGATCCGACTAATTAATCCACCAGTCCGTCAGCATGGTCAGGCAAGCTGGGACAAAGCTGATGTCCCTCAAGCTGAAGAAGGGGGACACAGAAAAAGGTCTGTGTGCGGTGGCCCAGAGAGCCACACCCAGGGGAACGGCGTGAAGCACCTGAGGGGCCCGTGGACTCCTCCCAGGTCCTCCCGGGGGTGGCTGGTCAGCCCTTAGATTCCTGAGGCCCGGGAGGAGCCTGGACCAGAGACCCCAAAGTTTCCCGTCCTGCCCAGCTAACCAGGCCTCACACTGGCGACAGTGGTGAGCAGAGTCAGCGCCTGCTGCTGCCCCGGAGGGTGAGAGGCTGGCTCCGGCTGACTCCTAGCTGTGTAACCTCGCCTGAGTCATTTCCCAGCCGGGGGCCCCACTCCTCCCCCCGTCCCCAGGACAGCAGAGGCCTCTCTCAGTGCCCGGCCCCTGGGAATTCCCCACAAACACGGGGTGTCTCCTTCCTGCTGAGTGACTTGGGAGTCAGACCCTACGCTGCAGCCTGGCTTCCGGCAACACTCCGCCCCCCCCCCCATGACGGGTGCTACTCACCGTGCCGGAATTCACGTACTTCTTTTTTTTCATTTTCTTTTTTGGGTTTATCACCTGTAGGGAAAGAGCAGGTACTGTCTGAGAAGAGCCAGGGCGGGTTCGGGGCTCCCCCCAGCCTGGGGTGTGTGGCGTGGGCAGCAGTCCAGCAGGGCACAGGGTGTGACCACAGCTTGGGAAAGGGCTTTGCCAGGCTTTGTGGGATGCTGGCATCTGGGCGTCCTACCCCATGTCCCAGGATCCAACACCGTGACAGTTTCTTCAGCTTTGTCCTCAATACCCTCAAGCCCACGCAGAGCAGGCGGGTGTTGCAAGACAGCTCAGCCCACGCCTGCCTGGGCCGGCTGGGCCACTCTTTCACCCCACACACCTTCTTTCTAGCCCGGGTCTTGCCTTCCCCATCCTTCCTGGGGCTCCCACTCAGGGGTGCCCTGAGCCTCTGAGCCTTGGAGCCTGGCCCTGGGCTGCCACCCTGACCCACAGCAGGAAGCTTCCAAACCAAATCTGTCTATTCCAAGGCAGGGCTCCGCACAGCAGGCTCAGTCAAGGCGACCGGTGACACCCTTCACCCTTGGCGTCTGGTAAAGTCTGTAGGTGGCTGTCAACATCCGGGGCCGGGAGCAGGGCCCCACTGCATGGCCACGCTGCACTGGGCTCAACAGGAGAAATCCAGGCTTCCTCTGGTATCCAATCAACAAAGCAAGGCGGTTTCCCCCTTCTCTCAAGCTTGTCCCCCTCCCCCACATGGCTTATGTCTCCCTTGGGGGGCTTCATTATGTCTTCTGTGTAGCCCTGGCTGTCCTGGAACTTGTTCTGTAGACCAGGCTGGCCTGGAACTCACAGAGATCCGCCTGCCTCTGCCTCCCGAGCACTGGGACCAAAGGCGTGCGCCACCACTCCCTGACCTTCCCTATACCTTTAAGTGCAGTGTCTGTGGTCTAACCAGGACTGACAGCCGCCTCTGGAGACAAAGCAAGCCACCAGGGCACAGAGATGCCAGGTGTGTTGCTCAAGGTCACGCGGCCATCCGGGTAGACACAGGATGAGAAACCTGTCTCCTGCCCAGCGGTGCACACATACGAGGCTGAGTGACAAGTTCAAAGGCAAGGGGGAGCAGAACCCACAGGCGGGACTGAGGCCGGAAGTGCCTCTCTGGTCACGGTGCAGCCCTCTCCACCACCACCACCACCGGCTGCTGGCTGCCCAGATGGGCAGTCAGAGCTGCTGTCTCAACACTACCTAGTTTCCCCAGTTGGGCTCATTCAGGGTTTGAACAACGGGAATCAAATGCGCCTCTGGCCTCGGCTCCACGGTCACCCTTATACAGAGCGGAATAAGCACATACTTAGGGTTGGTTGGGGTATGATTTCTTTATATTGCCTTTGTTTCGTCTTATTTTGCTCTGTGTTTCCGAGGCAGGGTTTCACCAGGTAGCCCAGGCTGGCCTTGAACTCACATTCCCCTGCCTCGGCTTCCTGAGTGGCGGGATCACAGACTCGCAACACCACGTCCGACTCGGTTCTCTGAAGCCTTCTCCGTGATCTTTAAATTAACGTGTGGTCACACTTCCGAGCCCTGACACCACCCCACGCTAAGGCAGCGGCTGGCATCGGATCTGGGCGAGGCGGGCAGGGAGCTGGCGCCCTGTCTGCTCTGAGGTCTCCTGCGATTCCCCAGACCCGCCACCAGCACGGCCTCCCTAGCCACGGCGGCTGCCGGGTTCCACGTGAGGCCGCAGCGCCCTCTATGGACACCACAAGGAACTGGCCCACTCGGCGAGGCTGCCTTCCCACAGCTCTGCAACCTGGTTCCCTGTGCACCAGGCTCCCGGGAAGGCAGACTCAAATTCTCCACCTCTGAGAACCTCCCGCTCTTGGGAGGGCCCCGGGCACACCCTGGGGAGGAGCAGCGTGACGGTAGGGACTTGCAAAGGTGACAGCCTCCTGCAGGGGGCATTAGAGAAAGGCCTGGCCCGCCCTCCTGTCTGAAGAGGCCCGGCTGGTGAGTCAGCCTTTGGCAGGGGCGGGGTCCAGGGAGCGGCTGGTTTAGAAGTGCGTCCCGGCAGGGTGGCTTCAGGTCGGAGATGGGGTGTTGCCCGGGGATTCTAGCAAGGCCTCCCTGAGCCCACTGGTCCTCCTAGCGACACCCCTGGGATTTGGAGCCGCCCCGAGGCTAGGGAAGCTGAGGCTGTCTCTTCCCCCAGAAACAGCATCATGGCTTCCCATGCAGTGGCTCCTAGCCCACTGACCACGAAGGGGCAAAGATGGATGACGGACTGGAGAACTGGGCTGGCCCAAATGCATTTCCCACTCTCATTTTGCCTGAGATTTCACGGCCACTGGGAGCTGGCCAGGCTCCAGAGCTGTGTCCACTTCACTAAGAACCTCATCAGGGGCGGCCCAAATGAAGACAGCCTCTGCCTTGCCTGGGGCTCGGGGGACTCAGCCAGCTCAGCGCTACAGCCCTTCCCCCAAACCGCAACCACGGGGACCAGAGAGATGGCTCAGCGGCTAAGAGCACCATCATCCTCCAGAGGACCGCAAGCTTTGTCTGAACACACGGGCCACACTCAAGTCAGGACCTCAGGCCTCTGCTTTCAGGAGTGCTCAGGAGTGACCTTGAAGGCTCTTCCTGCAGTGTGTATGTGTGTGTGTGTGTGTGTGTGTGTGTGTGTGTGTCTGTGAAATGGGAACATGAAACCCTCCATGTGGCACAACATGGAAGTTCCCAGCCCCTCTCGGAGCCCTTACTGTCACGACCCAGCACCCTTATGAGAAGGGCCCCCCCCACCCTTGTTGCACCTCACCTCATAGATGTTGAATTGACTCTGGCCGCGTGCCAGCTCCCGGTAGCTGGTGGTGAACTCCCCAATGAAGTCGTGGCTGTAAGGGTAGATGAGGCTGAGGACAGAGGCCCAGGCTACGAATGCCCCCCCCCCCCCCCCCCCCGCCATCATTCTGCCAGGGCCAAGGAAGCCAACGGCCAGGTGGCAGAAGCCAGGGTCCCGGAGGAAGGAGACACAGGTCTGCTTGGATTCTTATTTAAGGGCGCTAGCAAGAAAAGGCATTCGGGGACAGTCTCTCTGCGGGGTGAACGTTGGATGGCAGTCAAGCTTTGCGGCTCAGTGTGTCAGGAGGGATAACGGCATTCACACTTACGTGGGGGGAAAAGTGCTTATTATTTTTTTTTTTTTAGACATTTCTAATGAAATATTTAGGGGTAAATGCCACAATGGAATTTCCTTTAAATTACATTAGCAATATATATATATTGCTAATGTGAATACAGCAAATTTAGCAATTGTCAAAAACTTCAAGTGACAGGCTTAAAGGCATTCATTAACTCCTCCCTGCTGGGACAGATTTTCCAGTAACAGGGCCCCACAATGTAGTCCTGACTGGCCCGAAACCTTCTAATTTAGACCAGGCTGGTCTAGAACTCACGGTGCTCTACCCGCCAACACCTCTAGAGTGCTGGGGTTAAAGGCATGTCCACTGTGTCCCGCTCAATAACATTTAAAAAATATTGTTTTTATTTTTTTTAACTTATATTTTGAGCTTTATGGAGACACTGTCTTATGTATCCCAGCCAACTTGCAAACTTGTATAGCCAAGGATGGCCTTGAACTCCTGATCCTCCTCGCTCTACTCCCGGAGACCTGGGATGACGGATGTGCCCACCGCCTGCCTGTCTCATTAATTTATTCCTTTTGAGATAACTTCTTATTGTATTGCCAAGGCTGGCCTCAAACTCCAATCCTCCTGCCTCAGACTCCTGAACAGTTGCATGACACCACAGCTGGGCCTTTCCATCGGTGGTGCCGGAAATGGAACCCTGGGACTGGATCCCCTCAAGTCAGGGCCCTGTCTCTGAGCTGCACGCCCGCCCGGTCCTCCTGCTAACATTTCCTAAGAAGGTGATGGGAGCGACGTTCAGGCCGCAGGGGGCTTTTTCCAGTGTGTTTTCATATTAGACACAGCAAGAGCTTGCGTAAACAGCGCCCCCACCAGCCCCGGGTCCTTGCTGGGACACAGTGCTTGGCGGTCTAGCTGGGGCAGCCAGATGTGCCCAGGTATCCCTGGGCCCATGCCCTGCCGGGAGCCCACAGTAGTTTTTGTTTGTTGGGATTTTTTTTTTAAGTCATACAAACTAATGGATTTCGTTGTGAAACCTTGATACATATCATACATACATACAAACGTTGGGTTGGGGGAGTTTAGTTTTACTGGTAGTATGTGTGTGTGTGTGTGTGTGTGTGTGTGTGTGTGTGTGTGTGTCTGAGCGTGCACATACTCCTTTGAACCAAGGAGTATATAGGTCACGAGACAGCTTGATGGTGTGTCTCGGCCCACCTTCTCGTGGGTTTCCAGGGTTGAGCTCAGGCGGGCTGTGCTTGCAGCACAGAGGTGCCGCTGAGCCAGGCCAGCCCTGGGAGTTTCCTTAGTTGCGTTCAGTGTGTGATGGAACCAGGGTCTCCCAAGTGCTCGGCGGGCCCTCTACCCTGAGCTACACTCGTGGCCCCGTGCTGTGGCGACAGCCGGTTCACGGAGCTCAGACTGCTGATGAGGGTAGGACCCTGCCTGGGGCACCTGGTGGCTGTCCCAAGTTGCCAGGGAGGAAGGAACTCCCGGGCAGAGGAGACACGTGGGGAATTGTGAAGAAAGGGTGAAGCCAACTTGTGTTGGATGCATGGCGGCGCTAACCTGGCTGGCCGGAAGGGATGGAGGAGGTGGGGGTCAGGGTTAACAGGGGCAGGATGGGCACTGGAGAATCTTCCACAGCTTGGGCCTGACCTGGCTATGTGGGCACAATGCCCCAGTCCATATCAGACCTGGGAGGTGCCAACTGTGGCTGCCCTTCAGAAACGCCCTGGCAGGGAGTGGCCACAATTAGCCAGGATGCGGCTAGGTTTGGTTCGTCAGATAACTGGGAGACAGTGAGGGGCCTGGACTCCTGCTTTGAGGGAGAGGCATTTGCTCTGCCAGCCACACTCACTCCCCGTGGGGTGCCCAGCCCTGCCCCCCAAAGTCTCCAAGCAGAGGTCACCCTCCTGCAGGCCAGCCCCAGCCCTCCTCAGGCTCTGCCTTGTCCTCCCTCAGCCTCAGAACACCCCGCTGTCCCTTATAGTCTTCTGTCAGACCTAAGTCCACCCTCTGTGTTTACAGGGAGCACCTGCTAGACTGTGGGGCGCCTCTGGGCCTGGTCAGCCTACAGCACCTCGCCCAGGGCTTCACACAGGGAGAGACAGTGTGCGTGAATGCTCAGTGTCCTGCAGCACGGGCACTTCAGAGCGTTCCCAGCTCTGCAGGGGAGGAGAGTGTGTGCATGGGCTGGCTGCTGGCAGCTCTGTGAGGAAAAGGGGGTCCCCAGCATCCCTGACCCTGTAGGACCTCCATGGAGCCAAGCCACCCTGTCGTGTCAGCAGACTCGTGTGGAACCCAGCCCCTCCCTCCCAGAGTGCCCTGATGGGCCGGCCTGGCCTCCCAGTGCTCCCTCAGGCCACTCACCTTCCTTTACACCTCTCTTGCTCTGCTCCTGCCCTTACCTGCCATCACGGTCCCAGTCATACACCTCCACCTTGATGGTCCTAGAAAACAAACAGCAAAGAATCCTCGGTGGGACGGGCCTGAGGGCAGGCCTCCTGCTCATGGACCAGGAGGGAGGCACGCAGGCACTCTCTCCAGGGTCCAAGCCTGTGTGGAGAGAAGACAACCTGAAAGAGAAAGAGAGAGAGAGAGAGAGAGAGAGCAGGGACCCCTATCTGCAAAGGTCTTAGGGGCAGAGGCCACCTGGAGCCATGACGGATCATCTTGAGATTTCAAGAATTTGGCTGAAGGGGCCTCAGCCCTCTGCTCACCCCACCTTCTTGGCTTCCCTAGATGGAGCAGAAGGCTCAGCAGGAAGCCAAACTGGGCATTCACCTGCGGCAGGGCCACGATGGGACAGCGAAGGGGGGAAGCTTCTGTGGGAGAGTTAGACTGCTCGGCAGGAAGGAGCCTGAGTCTGAGCCTGCGGGTGGTGAAGAGCCAGCCCTGCGGGCCAAGAAAGGGCCCTGGGCCCTGAGGGTGCCCTGTGGAGCTCGCCATCCCCAAGACTGGACCCTGAAAGGGTGGGATTTTCCTCACATCCTAGCCCAGGCTGCTTTAATTAGTTTGTTTTGACTCCTAAGCATGGGGCTGGGCTTTAAGAGCCCATCTTATTTTTAGCCATGTTTCCATGGCAACAGGTTAGCGGACCAGAAGCAGGAGGAAGGAGGTGGAGGGTTGCCTGTTAACCCTTGGTGCTGCCTGCTCCGTCCTCTCCAGGACTTCCCGGGGATGGAGAAGCCGTCGGGCAGCACCAGGGGTCTAGGAAGGTGGGAGAGGCCCGGGGGGTGGCAGTTTCTGGTCTTGAACCCCACGTGGGATGAACAAAACAGTCTGAACTGGTTTCTGTTCTATCAACATCCATTTATCCCACCGGTGGTGGGGTCCATCTCCTCCGCCCTGCCAGGAGCCGGCCTGGGAGTTCTGTGGCTCCCCAGCAGGGGGCGCTGTCTCCTTTCAGATGCGTCTATCCAGGATGTGTGCTGGGTGGAAGGGCAGATTCACAGAATGGGGCAGAAGAAAGTTCCAGAACAGAGGCCTGGGGTGCCCAGAAGGTTATGCACGAGCTAGTTTCTGTAAGCGAAACACTATGAAGCAGATACAGAGGCATGGTTTAAATCCTCTGCATCCTTACTTTATAAACACAAACCCTATGGCTGCTGCTTGAGCTGGATTGCTAAGACATCGGCACGCCTAAGTTTCTGAAGGTGCTGGAAAGGGCCCAGATGTGACTTGGGTGGCTTTGGCTTGGACACTGGACCTGAGCTGTGTGGCTTGGAGGTGGCGTTTCACTTCCCTGAACCACAAGCCTCGACTGTTAAGTGGGAAAACAGGGGTAGTAAGGGCCTGACAGGACAGCTTAGTGTGTGTGTGTGTGTGTGTGCGCGCGCGCGTGCGCCTGTGGTGGGGGAGCTGGAAAATGCCTCCTGGTTTCCACATTATCACTAACCATGCTGGGCAGTGGTGGTGCACACCTTTGGTCCCGGCCCTCAGGAGGCAGAGGCAGGTGGGTCTCTGAGTTCAAGGCCGGCCTGGTCTACAGAGCTCCAGGACCCGGTTCCAAAATCAAATGAACAAACAAATCCCTGGCTGCTGGAGCTCTCCTAACACTTTTGTGAACTGGACAACATTGGTGATAGGGACACAGAGCACAGAAGGGGGGCCTGAGCATGCGGCTGGCAAGACGGCTCTGTGGATGAGGACACAGTGGTCTAGCCTGGCAACCTGAGTTTGATCCCTGGGAAAGCAGGCACTGACTCCTGAAACGTGTCCTCTGACCTCCACAGGTGTGCCATGGCACAGTCACATTCCCCTCTGCCGCCAACAAATAAATACATTCAGTAAACAAACAAACAAACTCAAATCTCAGAGGCAAAGGGCCTGACTTATCTCTTTGCCGGGGATTTTGTCTGTGAAAGGCCCAATCCTGCATGTAACCCTGGCATGCTGCGGGGCCACTGGCCCTCTTCAGACTTGAGCTTAGGGCTCAAGTCCTGGCTGACTCAGAATCAGCTGGTCCAGGGGACGACGGGTGGGGGCTAGAAGCTCCCCAGGGGGTGGAGACTGGCGGCTGGGACTTGCTGTGAGGGTCCCCAGGGGCCAGTTTGGTCCCAACCAAGGCTCCGGGCTGTTGCAGCCTGGGAGGGTCTGCTGGACTCAGGGGCTGTGCCTCCAGCCTGGGCCCGGGTGGGGAAGAAAGCAAAAGGACAGCCCCAGGCACAGGAGAAGGCCTGGGGAAAAGCCCGGTGTCACTGTCTGTTAACCTGTCACAAATCCTGGTCACGGCAGATGGGACTTGGGACCCACGGGCCTGGACTGTCCCTGTACCCAGGCTCAGGCCAGGCTGGCTGTGACTTAGCTGTGTGACCCACTGACCTTCTGGGTGAGGACTAACGGGACAGAGCTCGGTGGCCCCTAAAACCAACATCCCGTTGGCACAAAGAGGTTAAAAACTCGGAGTCCCAGGGGAGGTGGTGAGGAGGGCAGGGCAGGGCACCGCCCTGGAGACAGCAGCCCAGTGCGGTGCCCCAGATCCTGCGGGTGCTGGCAGAGCATTCCTGCCGGTTCTGCCCCCCGGGGGGGAGGGGACTCTAACCTGTGGGGCGGTCCCGGCCTCTCCGATGGTGCCAGCCACCCTGCGGGCACTGACATGTGGCCTGCCCCTTTGGGGCACACTCAACCTTCTCTCCATCTCCAGCAATCCTGGTGTTTGTCAGGGCGTCCTCCCTGGGTCGGAGGCCGCTGTGCTCCCCTGTCTGCCGGCTTGGCTCCCAGCTACGGTGCCAGGCAGGTGTGAGGCGCTTCCGCTTCCGGCTGGCGGCGTCGCCTCTGTGAATGGGCAACAGTGGCCCAGGCCCCTGGCACGCAGGGTGAGACTGGGGGGGGGGTTGCAGATGGTGTCTCCAGGCCCCTCCCTGACCACACACAACACATGCCCTGTAGTCACCCCAGACCATGGTGATGGTAAAGGCTGCTCGGGGCAGGAGGAGGGACCTTCCCCGGCTGCTCACGGGCCCTCCCTGCTTTCCCTGTCCTAAAGGTCAGACACTCTGAGAGAAACTGGTGAGGAAAGACCGGTCCATCTCTTGGCAGGGCCCCGGGCTGGGCCATCTGGTGCTCAGCTTGTGCTTGCGTTTCTCAGGACTACAGGGGGCCCTTGCGGTGACACTTGAAGCATTTGGTAGTGGGCCTGCCGCCGCCCCCCCCCCCCCCCCGTGGCCACCGCCAAGGCCCAGTGTCCCCGCAGACTCGAGCCAGGGAGGTGGCGGCACACTCCCAGCTCAGGTGAGCCCTCTGCACCCTCCCTCACAATCTGCAGTTCATTCATGACTGACAGCAGCCTGGACAGAAGGACGGGGCTCAGTCAGGGCAAACCCTCAGCTCCCAGAATGCCAAGAGAGCAGGGCGGAGTCTGGCTGCTCCTGGAGAGTGCTTCTGGTCCCCACAGCCCTGTCCGACGCCCCAGGGCTAGATGGGGCCTGACCCCCTTTGGCTTGACCTCTGCTCCTCTGGAGCACTCAGGTTTGGGGAATGGAGGCTCAGAGACAGGAGAGCTGGACCAGGATGAGCCCAGAGGCGGCAGCTATAGAAGGAAAGGCATTGTCTTCCTTTGACAGACTCTGACCCTCCATTTTCCCATCTGTGAAATGGGCACAGCATGAATGAGGCGCTCAAGGCTATTTTTCATGACACACACACACACACACACACACACACACACACACACACACACACGTGTTTAAGCCAAGCAGGACCACTGTGACACACATCCTAAGTGTCCCCATAATTCTAACAGCATGAACCATTTTCACCCATCATGCTGGCACACTGGTCTCCTGGCAGCGAGCCTCCCCCAGTCCTCCCCTGTCACCTAGCCCACCTACTCTTCCTCCGTGCCCTGGGCCTGTGTCCTCACTGACATGGCCTCTGTCCCCTCCCCTCTGAGCTGTGCCTGGACTCCAGCCACTTTTCTTCCGAGGATTAGAATCATGGCAGCAGCTCTTCTCCAAACGCACACAACTTTCCTAATCTAAGATTGTTGCAGTTTCCAGGGGGGCTAGGGGTTGCCCATAGGCTGGGACTAAAAGGGAAGCCACACACTCAGACTACTCAGTAAGAATCTAGCCCGCGTCACACGCCCTGCCGCTCCGCACCTCTCTCCGTGGAGCCAGGGGCCAAGTGAGAGCACAGCACACTCATGTTACAGTCGTCAAGGTCTTTTGGACCTTCCTTCTCGTCGTCCCCTGCTCCTCTCCTCTCTAAACCGTTTGAAAATGGTCTCAAAAGGACCCTGAAGTGCTTTAAGGACTGAAACCACTCCTCTGGGGTCACCTTTGAACAAAGCTTCTCCGAGTCCTCCAGCTGTACCTCACAGCTACCCGGTTACACTGTGTTCTGGCCACTCGGAACAGATTTTAGAGCCAGTGTGGGTCAGACTCCTGTGTCTCCACCTCCAGAATGGCTGGCAGCATGATACAGGAAGGTGCCCACCCCTCAGTTACGAAGCACAGCCTCGCTGGAAACCCTTCCCAGTTCCCTGCGCGTGGACCCGGTGTGACAGGAGGTGTCTGCGAGAGGCGAGAGCCGAGAGGTATGCTTGAGTCGTCAATAAAAAACCAAACTATAGCCCACAGGAAAGGGTAGAATAGAAGGTGGGACATCCAGGAGGCAGAAAGGATTCTGGGATAGAGCGAGGCACAGGGAGATTTACCAGGGAAGATGTGAGGAGGACAGATGAATGGTACCTGAGCAGAGGTAACCAGCCACGCTGCAGAGGGTAGATTAGTATAAATGGGTTATTTTAAGTTCTGAGCTAGTCAGAGAAGAGCCTCGATATACGGTATAGGTATTTGTAAATGTATTTTGAGTCTCTTCAGTTGTTATTCTGGGACCGTGAGGCCGGGGAGGAAAAACACAACCCCTACTAGCCTCTGTACTGTCTGAGTCTGCCAGAGGGCCTATGGGGGAGGGGAGAACAGTGGCCTCCAACACATCACCTCCTCAGTGGGTGCGGGGACAATACTAGGCCGGGGTGAGAGTCGGCCAGACACTCCAGCCCCTGGATTAACTCTGCTGCCAGTCATGTCACAGTCCATTTGTGCCCAGCCATGAAGAAGGAGAACAAGCTGCCCTGGAGGAAGATGCAGCTGGGCTCAGGCCTGTCTGCCCTTCTCACCAAACACTTGCCTCCTCCAGGGGACCAGAGGTGAGACCAGGCCTCAGCCATGCTGTCCCCCTCCCTGTCTGCCTCTGATGGAGCTGGGTTCTAAGGGCCTGGGAACCCCTCGCAGGGAGGCAGGTTTACGAGACTGCACTGCCTACCCTCTTGCGATCTCCATCCTTTCCAACCCCTTTGCCCAATCCCCACACCCTCAAACTCCCAGCTGTCCATCCCCAGCCTTCTTTAGAATCTAATGCTATCCTGTCCCCTCCCCAACTCCAGATGCCCTGGGACCCAGCTAGGCATGTACCAGGAGTTTGTTTGATGGCAACATTCACTTTGGTCCCCAGTTCATTCTGAACAACTGCTCAGCTGTCCATGGAACTTGTGTGTGTCTGAGCACCCATGGCTAGACCGGAAGTTCCCAGAAGACCCAGAGAGCCACCTGTCCTCGAATGCCACATAGTCAGGGACTCGGTGCCAGGCACAACACAATGAACACTGGGGGAACAGACTGCTGTGTGTCTGTCCCAGCCAAGAGGAAAAAGGGGAGCACCTGACAGCCTGTAAGTGTCCCTGAAAGGACACAGGTGCCAGGATGCCATCCTTGAGCTCACCACCCCCATACACACACCCTCGGAAACCCTGTGCAGAGTCCCAGCGTGTCCCCAAGGTGTGTGTCCCCCTGCGCCATGGCTTCTGTGGGAGCAACCAGCAGTCAGCCCTCATCTTCAGCCAGTGTCTGACTTCATGAGGACCGATGCTGCCTCTCGGTACCCACCCGGCCCGCCTCCTGCTCCCTCCAGCACCCTCTGCACTGGCTAATGACATGCTTCTCTGTGTGATTACTGGATTAATGTCTGCCTCCCCCACGAGCTCTTCAGCTCCGTGAAGCTGGGAAGAGGGCGAGGTGGGCACACTTGCTCGCTTGCTCCCAGCAGACTTGCAGCACAGGCAGGGGCTCAGCCACCCAGCAGGCAGAATGCTGCCCCACTGGGGCATTTGTCGCCCTCTGGCCTCCTGCTGGCCCCGAGGGAGCAGCCCCAGAGGTCAGCAGGTGTCACCATGCTTATTTTGCAGGGAAGGACAGTTGAGAGGCAGACAGGCCAGGGCTTGCCCAGGCTGACTGATCCCTTAGTCAGTCAGGGGCGGGACTCAGGTACCAGTGAGTGGAGCTGAGGAAGAGGAGGCCAGCCGGCTCGGAAGACGATGATGAAAACACCCTCATCCCTCACTTAGGCACACGCTCAACCCGGTGTGGTCAGGGACTCTCCCTGGGGCCTTCACTGCAGGGTCCCCAGGCTGAGAGTGAGGTCGCCGGAGATGGACCCCTCCTGCCTTGCCTCCCCCTCCCTTACCCCTGCTGCCATCTGCAATAGAGAGCTCCACACCCCAGCTGGAGACACCTCTGCTCTGTCCTTCCTGGAGCAGACAGGAAGCAGCAAGAGGCCGCACATGAGGTGGTGGAGGGGGTCAGGCGGCTCCATCCCCACCCTGCCACAGCAGTCTGAGAGCAGCCCCAGGAGGCCCTCCCTCTTTGCGGGGTGGGGTGGGGGAGGGGAGGCACGACCCCTTCTCTCACCTGTCATAGTCCCCGTTGCACAGGGCCCGCACGGGGATGGAGAAGGTCTGCCACACTGGGTTGAGGGTGTTCTTCATGACCTCCGTCTTGTGACAGATGGTGAACCTGGCCGAGAAGAATGGAGGGAAATACATGAGGCAGGCGGGCAGCTCAGGCGGTCAGCACGGCAGGGCTAGCGCTGGGCGGCGCCGCAGGGAAGTTCCCGGACTAGGCAGAGCTGTGGCCGGAGCAGGGCGTCCTTCGGGCAGCGTCAGGGACCTGAGTTCCAGCCACTGCTCTGGGGCTGGCCTGTGGGAGCCTGACCAAGCCTGACTCTCCGGGCACTTGTTTTCCTGGGAAGCCGGGATCTGAACCCGGGGCTAGACGGGTGGTGCGTGCAAGTGTGTGCCCGCCCGCCTCTCGTTGGGACGTCTGTCTTCTCCTTCAGGACATCGCCAGACATCACCTCCAGGGACCCCTCCGACCAGGATGTCGCAAACATGCCAACCCTGACTGTGACACCTCCCCCCCTCCCCCGTGTCTCTCTCCTTCCAGGCTTTGCCTTTTCATCTCGTTTGTCACCATTTGACACGGTCTGTTTCTCTCCTTACTCGTTCTACTGTGGTCTGTCAGTAAAATCTAAGGTCGGCGAGAAATTGTTCCCGCTGCTGCTGAGTGGCCAGGGACAACGGCTGGCCCCAGGAGATCCTCCATCATCTTTTTTTTTTTGTGTGTGTGTGTGTGTGTGTGTGAGGGCCTCATGTAGCTCGGGATGGACCTAACCTTCTGCTCTCCTGCCTCCGCCTCTCTTCTGCTGGATCTAAGTACTGACACCGTGCCCAGCTATCAACCGATTAACAAAACAAAACAAAACAAAACAAAACAAAACAAAACAGGGGCTGGAGAGATGGCTCAGAGGTTAAGAGCACTGGCTGTTCTCCCTAAGGGTCCTGAGTTCAAATCCCAGCAACCACATGGTGGCTCACAACCATTTATAGTGAGGTCTGGTGCCCTCTTCTGGTGTACAGGTGTACATGCAGGCAGAACACTGTATAAATAATAATAAATGAATAAATCTTTAAAAACCAACCAAAACAAAGCCCATTTAATTACTTTATTTTGTATGTGCCTGAGGGACTGTATATGTGCCACAGTTGTGCACTTTCCTGCGGAGGCTGGAAGCGGATGGTGGATCTCGAACCATTGGTGACTGGGAGCCATCTAGCATGGCTGCTAGGACCCAAACCCAGAGCTCCTGCAGCCAGCCGGTGCTCTGGATGGCTGAGCCATCTCTCTAGCCCCCAGTCATATTTTAAAGGGAGGCGAGGGCCAGGGTGTCCAGATGGTAGGTGCTTGACAGCACTGAGCTCTATCTACAGCAGCCCAAGAGCCTGCTTCAAAAAAAAAAAAAATCAATAAAATAAAATAAAAAGGAGCTGCCAGGCGTGGTGGCCCTTTGGTCCCAGCACTTGGAAGGCGGAGGCAGGTGGGCTAATCTTTGAGTCCCCGGCCAGCTGCGGCTACCCTGTGTGACACCATCTCAAAAAAAAAAAAAAAAAAATTAAATTAAATTAAATAAATGGGAGCCAAGCAGGAACTGAGCATCTTGGGGCAGAGATTCCACAGCTTTCAAGGGCATTTCAGTCCAGTGGAGGCAAAGTCCTCTCTGGGGCCACCTGGGACCCCTCAGTTCCCTTCTGCTTTGCTAGCCATGTGGACCGGGCTGCCTCTGCTGTTCCTGACGTGGTGTCCTGCGCTCTCTTCTTGCCATGCCTAGCCTGTCTCAGGGGCACCCTACCTCAAGGATGGCCAGAGCTCTCCCAGCACCCACCCAGGCGGCATTAGAGCTTGGAAAGGTCACCAGGAAGCGCCAGGGCCCCACCCGAGGCCCACACAGCCTGTGCTGTTTCTTCTTTGGCAATTTTCAAGTCAAAATGTCACTCCTGTCACCGGGCTGAGCGTTTCTCCTCTGCACTCCTTCTCGCCCACCCGCTGGAGTGTGAGATCCACGTGGGAGGCCTTGTAGCTCACCCCAGAACTGGAGGAGGGGCTGGGGCGGGTGGCTGAGGGTGACAGAGAGTGAGCAGATGACAGGGGTTGAGGGGGGCAGGCTGGAGGGGCTCCCTGGGCTTCAGGGATCCACCATGGAACATTCCCTCAGAGGGTGGACGTCACCCAGCCGCCTCAGTCCTCCTACACAGACCCCTGTCCTTCCTTCACGGCCCACAAGCTCAGAGAGGTCTCCTAAGACCCCTGGGTCCCCCTGGGTGGTCCTGCTTCTGCCCGAGGTGCCAGCCGGACGCTGCTTCCTGTAGCCCCCATCAGACCCCCAGCTGCCTGGTGCCAGGATCGCTATGCAGGGGGGTCCCTGTAGGCACACAGTTGGAGCTTGGGTGTGGGAGAGTGTCACCCATCTGTCAGACAGATGTGAGTCCCAGGCCCAGAGCCAGCTGTGTATCCCCCGAATTTCCTTCAATGGCAAAATGAGTATAAAAAGAATGGCTAGAACAAACAAACAAACAAAGGAACAAACAAAAAAGGAAAACAAAAAAAGCAGGGTAATGGCGGCACATGCCCTTAATCCCAGCACTTAGGAGGTACAGGCAGGCAGATCTCTGAGTTCAAGGCCAGCCTGGGCCATAGATAAGAGTTCCAGGACAGTCAAGGCTACATGGACAAACCCTGTCTCAAACCAAAAAAGAAAAACCAACCAACCAACCAAACAAACAAACAAAACAGAGAATGGCTATCGTTGAAGAAATGGCTCAGTGGGTAAAGTGGGGAAATGGCTCTGACTTCACACACACACACACACACACACACACACACACACACACACACACACGCTTCTTGGACTTGGGTTCTGGACTGCATATGCCAGCTGAGTACCAGCCCAGTCTGTTTTTCGACGTGTGCCTTCCAACTGTGAGCCAAAGCAAAACCTTCCTTAGGTTGCTTTTGTTGGCCCAGGTCATCACAGCTAGAAGACAAGTGATACACAGCGGCCATTCCGGCGGGCAGCGTTCTAGCACACCAGAGGGTTCTGTTGGGTTACAGCTGCCTAAAATTACTCTGTTTGTTGTACCTACTAACACCAGGCCAGGCCCAGCTGGCAGCTCGGCTGTCCAGTTTCTCCAGGATCCCAGAGGCCCCTCCAGGCCCCCAGAGGCTGTCATCTCTGAGTGTAGAACTCCTAAGGCCACAGTCGTTCCTTTGCCCATCCCCAGTGCCCTGGGCTCCCCTGGCCCGCCCCGGTGCCGGTCCTCATGGGTCTCCTTGGAGCCCCTCTGCCCGTCCCTCCCCCCCCCCCAGTTCGGCTTAGGCACCTCCCACCTGCTCCGGTGTCAGTCAGAGCCTTCCCACGCAGCCCTCCAGAGCTGCTCTCTGCACGCACCCCTCCTCCTGCCCGACACTGCCGGGCCCTAAGGCTGCAGCTCAGCTTCCCCACAGGGACGGACAGGGGAGCCTGGTCGCTCACAGCAGCCCCAGCCTTTTTCCTCTGCCTCCCCCTGTGCTAAAACCAACTCGGAGTCTCGGGGAATGATTTAGAGCGTCCTGCTGGGATCCTCCGAGAGACAAAGGAGCCCTTTGTCATGCAAATGATCGCACCTACTACCTAAGTAGTTCGAGTTTAAAAATCAGTTCTCCTGCACCGAAATACACCTCTCCTGCCTGCGGCTGCCCCACCCCCGGCGCGCATGCGCGCGCACACACACACACACACACACACACACACACACACACACACACCCATGCACAAGCACACTGGCACTAGGGGTCTAGAGTGCCTCGCCCTGAGCTCCAGCTCAGCCCAAGGTTAGCCCTCCGGCCCTGTTAACCGCGGTGCTCCTCACTCAGCCCCAAGGACCCATTTTCTTCCTCACCGAGTTTCTCCAATTAACCCTGCTGGCCTCATCGCTTCCGCCGCCTTCCGCAGGATCCCAGAACCGGCTGCTTAAAGAGGCCGTGGAGACCACCTCATCCAATCGCTTCATTTCACAGATGAGAAAACAGGCCCAGCGAGGGGGCAGAATGTGCCCTGGGCCACACAGCTGGTTGGTGGGGGGACTGGGGTTCTCAGCCTAGTTTCTGACCCGCACTGGCCAGCATGCCCAGTCCATTTCCCCTAGCTCTAATTTAATGAGGTGGGGAGGGGGACAGGGCCTTTCCACGCTATGGTTCTGAATACGTGCACAGGAAAGAGGTGTGGGGCGGTGGGGGAGGGCCCCAGCTCTGCCCGGCCCGCTGTGCGGTTGGGGGACCTGTGAGCGGGCCCTGGGTTCCGTGCGAGGTGTCAGGGTGCGCACAGCGAGGCATTTCCGACCTAACCCTGGTTTTGGGCCCTCCCCAGGCATACACAGCGCCCGCCGCTGCCGAGAGCCTCCCAGAGGCCAGGTCCCCAGGTTGGCTTTCTCGGGTGGGTCATGGGCGGCTGTGCCCTCCCCGCCCTGCCTGGTGTCCGGGTGCCCGGAGGGGGGAGGCGGGACTCACGTTCCATCCTCGTTGCTCCTGTAGAACACCAAGAAGGGGTCGGATTTCCCGAAGAAATCTTTCTTGTCCAGCTTGTTGGCACAGAACTGCATGGTAGCCACGTCCTGGAAAGGAGGGAGGTCAGGGTGGTGAGGCAGGGGGGTCCAGAGATCGGCAGGGGCACACAGGGCATCACGCCGGGCACAAGCCCCAGGCCTACCTGTGGGACAGAGGGCCAGCTTCTCCAGCAGCGCACAGGCCTAGGGGACCAGCCGGCTGGAGAAGCACAGGGATCTGAAGCTGCCCCGGGTTCGAATCCCAGCTCTACCACTGTGACGTTATGTGACCCCTCCCCCTCCAAGGAAGGCAGGTGACCTCTCAGCGCTTCTGGTTCCCCTCTCTGGGGCTCACAGGGGTAGCAGTGAGGAGCACAGGTCAAGTGTATAGAAGTGTTCGCCATGATGAAGCCAACGGCCACTCTGGGCATGGGCTGCTGGGCGGCACCTTGAAGCCTGACACTGTCCATGACTCCCCATACTCTCACAGACACCTGTGCTTAGGTGTCCCACTAACCGGAGTGTGCCCTCGGCCCAACACTTTAAGAATGGGACAGGAATCAAACTCAGGGGCCAAAGGCTCACAGTTGGGGAGGTGTGGGGGAGGGGAGGGGTGCAAGGACAGCTTTACTGAGCTCCACAAACAGAGCTAATTTTGACACCCCCCCACCAGCTCCTTCTCCCCCTGCCTGACATCTGCAAAGAGGCAATCAGGCCTTGAGAGAACCCCTTAGTGGGGTCACACTCCTCTCTGACCAGGTCCCCTCGGGCTCTGACCCCACCTCTACCCCTCAGGACACCCCCACTTTTGGCTCTGCCCTCTCGGAGCTCCACCCTTTCAGGGTCCTGCTCCCCAGCAGGAGGACCCTGGCCAGGCAGGCAAGATGACCAACCACCGCTCACCTTCCTGCCTAGCCCTCTGCAGTGAAACTGGCTAGCTGTGAAAGAAGGCAGCTGGCGATTAGGGGAGCAGAGATTCAAACACCTCAGAGTCAGGCTTCATGGGCACACCCCAAACCCTGGGATGCACCCTGAGGGACAGCAAACAGCCCCTCACCGGATTCACCTCCCTGCTTTCTTTACTAGCCACACAAACCGGGGACCCAGAACAGGGTCTGAGCGGAAAGCTCTTGCTCAGAAAGAAATAGGAAATTTCAAAGACTATGGCCTAAGTGTGGGGCCTGAGGAGTTGCAGAGCTGGCACTGGCATCTTCCCATGGTGGCTTCAGGGGACCAGAGTCTGCTCAGGGGAGCCATGGGATGGCCCCGAAAGGAGACAAGAGGCCCAGTCCTGGCTCTACAGAGCCTCGTGACATCCTTACCTGAGTGAAAACACGAGCCTCTCATGTGACACACTCAGGCTAACCCTAACCCACGCACACACTGGAGAGGGCCCAACAGCACAGCCCAGCCGCTCGTTGCCTTTTGAAGAACCTTCTGAGAACCTTGCAAGGCCAGGTAGGGGCCAGAAAGGTTAGATCAAGAGTCAATGTAAGCCAGGAGTATGGCTCACGAGTGTTTGCCCAGCACACACAAGGTACTGAGTTCACCCCAGCCCTGGAACGAGAAAAACGGGGGCCACCATCTGCTTTGGGGTGGAGTTGACAGTAATAGCCAGCTGTCGTCTGTCTATGAACATGGCAATACAGGGTGTATGCAAGGCGCCCACCGATTTTTTTTTTAAGGTGTGTGTGCTAGGGTTATAAAGAACACCTGATATGGGTCCCCCAGTGGGGGTTGTGGCCCAAAGGTTGAGAACCTTGGATCTGATTCTTAGGCAGGCCTCAACGTCCCCACGGCAATCTCTTTCACCCGCCCAGCCATCCCCACTGGGCTGCCTTTGTATCTATGCTTCATTTAAGCCTTTCAACGATTCTATGGGGTAGGCACCGTTCTCCTGCCTATTTTACACAGAGGGTGATGGGTTCTGGGCGCTTGGCACTCAGGAGTTAGAGGCTGGCGGAGCTCTGTGAGTTCAAAGCCAGCCTAGTTTACACGGTGAGAGTTCCTGATCAGGCTGGCCAGGGATGGACAGTGAGACCTTCTCTCTTTCTCTCTCTCATACACACACACACACACACACACACACACACACACAGTGAGCATACATGCAAAAGGGCCCACTGAGGCTGAGCTCCAGCCACTAAAGCCTAAATTCAATCCCAGGGAGCAAAGAACCGATTCCTGCAAGTTATCCTTTGACCTTCACGTCTGCCACGGCACAATCCTGCCTATATACACGAAGCACGAATACATGAAACGTAAGAAAAACAGACCAAGAAGTGGAGTCCCAGAGCAGGGAAGCACCCTCGCTGGAAGCCACAGAGTAGGGCTCCGGAGGCGAGTTGCCGAGACTGTGAGCGATGCCCCCCCCCCCCCCCCCCGCATCTCCAGGTAAGCTTAACTATGTTCTATAGCCTCCATCGGGGGAGGCACAGAAGTGTGAGATCCATTTTGAGGGGCCTCTGTGCAAACTCGTTAAAATGAAAAAAGAAAGAAAAAAAAAAAAGGCAGGCTCAGAACTCCAGCTACATGGAAGGCTTGGCCAGGGTGTGACAGTAGATTTCCTGTCCATGGTAGATAAGTGAGGCTCATCTGGATCCCACCCACCGCCAACACACACACACACACACACACACACACACACACACACACACACCCTCTCTCTCTCCAGTGACACTTGCCCAGAGCCCACTGTGACTGCTGTACCATGCAGGGCCCCTGGAAGACAAGACAGACCTTCAGAGAGGTTTTCGGCTTGTCACCAAAGCACTGACGAACACCCAGTGGGCAAGTCCCCCAGGGGCAGGAAGTCGAGGTCCCAGCACAAGCTAAGCAAGCCCGAACCCTGACCGGAGCGGCAGCCTGTGCTGTGGGGGGTTGGGGAGGATGATATCCCCCTCCATCAGTGTGGTTGGCGGATGAGTGGCTCTGGAGGAGAGGCAGGAAGAGCCATGCCGTGGCCTGGATCCCAGGCTTCCCATGAGGATCAGGTTTGGGAGGTTTGATGCTGAGGTGGGGCTCTCCCAGCCGAGAGAGAGAGATGCTGTTTGGAGTCTGTGCACCCCAGGGAATTGGTGGCACGGAAGATAAAACTCGCTCCCGAGATATATAATTTCCTGCAATTTCTGCCTTTCACCCTATCTTTTTAAAAAACATATTAAGTTTCTCTAAAACAGCAGGATTGCTTCAATTTGCATATCCCCCAAATGCTAATTGCGCTGCCTAGGAGATGCTGCAGGCAGACTTTCTCTGCAGTGGGGCTCCCCACCCTCCGGAAGAAGGCTGAGGAGGTCACAGGTCAGGCCCAGAGGGCAGCAGGCCTGGCATCCACTCTTCTGCCTGGGTCAGCAGGTCAATGGGAAACCTAAGGGCACCTCTGAGGCTCAGTAATCGAACACTTTAAAAAAGAAATCATCATCAACAATAATAATAATAATAATAAAAAGCTGTGATAAACAGGACACTGAAATGTGAACCATTTTTATGAATGAAGCAACTGAGTCACACAAAAAGTCACATAGAGCCTGCCCAGGATCACACACTTGAGTTCTTTGGTTGCTGTTTGTTGTTTTTGATTTTCAAGACAGGGTCTCTCTATAGTCCTGGCTGTCTTGGGAATTGCTTTGTAGACCAGGCTGACCTCAAACTCACAGAGATCCACCTGCCTCCGCCTCCCAAGTGCTGGGATTAAAGGTGTGCACCACCACCGCCCGGGCTGGCACTTGAGTTCTTAGTCAGCCTATAAGCCAACCCTGAGAGACGTTTTTAAATGAATAATAAGACCATGGTTTGTCTATTGTCTTTGGGGTTTTCCTAATTTCCTAGAGTTAGCACATTGTTCTTTTTGGTCAGATAAAAATGTACAGTGAGGGATGGCAGGTGTGATGGTAGGTAGGAGGCAGAGGCAGGTGGATCTCTGTGAGTTCGAGGCCAGCCTGGTCTACAGAGCAAGTTCCAGGACAGCCAAGGCTACAGGAAGAAACCCTGTCTGGAAACAAACACACAGAAGGGAATCATATGAAAGAAGGGGGAGTTAATAAGACTTGAGAGGACAGGAGCTCCACAAGGACCAAATATATCAGGGCACAGGGGTCTTTCACGAGACTGTTCCTCCAACCAAGGACCATGTATGATATAACCTAGAACCCCTGCTCGGACATAGCTCATGGTAGCTCAGTATCCAAGTGGCTTCTCTAGTAAGGGGAACAGGGACTATTTTTGACATGAACTCAATGGAGAGCTCTTTGACCCCCCCCCTCCCCGGAGGGAGGAGCAGTCTTGCCAGGCCACAGAAGAGGACATTGCAGGCAGTCCTGAAGAGACCTGATAAGTTAGGGTCAGATGGAAGGGGCGGAGGTCCTCCCCTATCAGTGGACTTGGAAAGGGGCAGGGAGAAGATGAAGAAGGGAGGGTGGGACTGGGAGGGAATGAAGGAGGGGGCTACGGCTGGGATACAAAGTAAATAACCTGTGATTAATATAAAAAAGAAGAATAAAAGATAAAAAAAAAACCCACACACACAGAAAACCACCACCAACAACCAAAAGACTCCAGCACCCACAAAACAAGCCACATGGTCTCATGGGCACCCGTAGCCCTGTGCTGTGCCGGTCTGAGGCCGGAAGGTCTGGGGCTCACTAGCTGCCAGCCCAGTCAAACAAAAGAACAAGAAAGCCCGAAGCTTCAGGGTCAGGGAGAGATCCTGCCCCAAAGAAATAAGGTGGAAAGTGACACTTGTACACACGTGCGTACACACACACACACACACACACACACACACACACGCACACGCGGGGGGGGGGGGGGGGGGGGGGGGAGGGGAGGCCAGTGAGGGGGCCTTGGGCTGACAGCTATTCAGACACAGGCGGTGGTCACAGCTGAGGGAGATGGCTGCGTGACCCCTTTGTTGGTGCACTAACTGTGAAGAGGCCTCGGGGTCAAGGGTCAAGCTGACAGTCCTTTGTGGCTGTGACGGCCGACTTCCCAGTCAGCTGTGCCTACGCTGATCTGATCTTTTGGAGGCTGAAAACCCTCCGCTGACCGCTTTCCCTCCCCCTCGCGGTGTC